TTGTTGTCAGATTGAGGGGCGGGGCTTAATTGCAAGATCCATATTTATCTGAAGAATTTACCATTGTAAACATGTTTTAAGTTTCTTGTTCTAAAAAGACGACTACATATATTTAAAAAAAAAGGCAAAATATCGGCCCCGCCCACCCACCCTATCTCAATTGTGATGATTTTTTTTTGATCGTCGAGAGTCAAAGGAGCGGAATTTAATTGCAAAATCGTTATTATTTCTCTACAAGAAATTACCATGCAACACATGTTTTTAAGTATCGTGCCAAAGATTAAGCCCACCCATACCACGCCTTGATCTAGATAGTAATGAAGTCATAATTCGTTGGCCGCCCTAGGGGCGGAGCCTAATTGCAAAATCTATATTTCCTTACAAATATTTACCATTTTAAACGTGTTTTAAGTTTCTAAGAATAAAAAAAATCATCACAATTGCGATGGGGTGGGTGGGCGGGGTTTATATTTTGTCCTTTTTTTTCAATATACATAATATTCTTTGAATATTATGTTTCAAATTCAAAAATATGATTTTAATTTCTTGTAAAGTAATAATTATTTTGCAGTTAAATTCCGCCCCTGTGGTTCACGGCGAATAAAAAAATCATCACAATTGAGATAGGGCGGGTGGGCGGGCTTACATTTTGTATTTTTGTTTTAATGTCTTGTGTAGACTTCTTTTCACACCATAAAACTTAAAACAGGGCCGTCTTAACCCGGGGGTGCAAGGGGTGCAAGGCGCCCGGGCGCAAGGCCCTAGGGGCGCAAGCGGCCAGCCGAACACTTAAGTGTAATAAAAATTAACGTGAACATCGAAGCGAGGGAAGAGAACCCCGTGCATTTATTTTACAATGACATCTAGGCCATAGTCCGCACGTTATAAATCTTAATAAAACTTATAGTAAAATAGCGTTGAAATCCAAGAATTTGGCAGATGTAGATATTATTTTATCTTTATATGATGTTTCAATTCTGCCAAAAACACGTGGGGCGAAATTGACCGCTCTCAGAGCAATGTTAAAGGGCGCCGCGCTAATAGCTGGTAGTTGTAAACTATTTCCAAAACATTATTTCTGTAAATAGTTTCTTTGATGATCCGTTTTCAAGAATAAATTATATTTTGCCCCAAAATACAAATTTCTTCATTGGTTTTGCAACATTCGCCGCGAGTTGTTGTCTGCTTCTCTGAAAAAATAGTGAACCGTGAAAAGTGAAAAATACTAACTAAATAATATATTGTTTAATGTTTGATTTGCGTTGAAACAAGGAAATAACGATTTTTCTTTCAATTGTCCAGGAAATTTATGTACTTTTTCCGGATCAACATCACGGTGGGATGTCATCATGAATCAGTTACCCACTTTGACATTAAAACCACTGTCAAATACGCGATGGGAAAGTAGAATTGACGCTGTAAAAGCACTACGTTTTAATATGGAAAAAATGTATGATGCATTGTATTTTATTTTTTCAAATAACAAGTATGACAGCGACACAAGGAACATAGGAAGCTCACTGATGTCGAAATTAAAGAGTTTTAAGTATGTATGTTCAATAGTTATTTGGTACAATATTTTATCAAAAATTAATATTGTCAGTAAAAATTTACAAAAGTCGGATGTCATTCTTTCAGAGGCCGTCAAAATGCTAGATCAAATCAGCAAAGATTTAGTCACAAACCGTACTGACACTGCGTTTGAACAGTTGTTATTTGACTCAGTATCAATTGCTGAAGAATGTGTGAAACTGAATTTGTTCAAACTGCTCGTCCACGTCCCCGAAAAAGACATTTTAATTACGAAACTGCAGATGAGCTCATTTTAGACCCAAAGCAAAATTTTAAAATTAATTTCTATTATTATTTATTCGACACACCAATTGCAAAAATAAATGAAAGATTCGAATTGTTAATACAATACACTAAAAATTTTTCATTTTTAGAAAATATAGAAAACTGGAGGAAATTGGAGCTAGAGCAAAAAAACACAATGTCTCAACTTGCAACAGAAATTAACATATGGAAATAGATCCGATATAGATAATAAATAAATAATAATATATAAATAAATAATAATAATAATCAATGCATATCATTACTTGGTCTTAGTACCCGTAATGATAGAAGTCTTGCCTGAATGCCGGTCATTTCCGGGTCAGTGGTGGGTCTTAATAAAAAATTTAAAAAATCAAAAGCGAAAAAAATGACTTTGATGTATGAAATAGCACAGAATAGTTTTAAATTTAATCATTCTGATCTGACACCTTGTATCTCACATAGAGTAAATTTGTGAGATATTTTTTATGGAATAATTTTTTACTTTTTGTTAAGTTTAAATATCTGTTTAATATGTTTAATTATTTTTTATAACGTTTAATACTCCGAAATAATTTTAAATTTGTTTTATAGTTTTATTATTTAAATGTCACTGTGTATTTACAGTTACATTTAAATATATTATATATAATATAATTGTAATAAGATTGTACCGATTGTCATCATTTGAACTTCCTAGCCATGTTGTTTATATAATAAATAAATCAACCATCATTATGTTTTTGATTTTTGGCATATATGAATAGAATATTTAAGTGAATTGTGACGGTTAACTGCTTCTAGGTTAACCACCCCTAACGTTAGATTCTCGTGTGGGGCTCTAGACTCTGTAAAAAAGAGGGTTAATTAATTTTTGATAGGGGGGCGCAACGCTGATTTTCGCACCCCGGCGCAGAGTATGCTTAAGCCGGCCCTGACTTAAAACATGTTTAAAATGGAAAATTTGTATGAGGATTTTGGATTTAGGCTTCGCTCCATAATTGCAAAATCCATATTTTCTTGCAAAAATGTAGTATTTTAAGCACGTTTTAAGTTTCTTGTTGTGGAAAGATGGCTATGTATATTAAGCAAAAAAAAAGGCAAAATATAAGCCCCGCCCACCCGCCCTATCTCAATTCTGATAATTTTTTATTCGTCGTAAGCCTAGGGGCGAAGCTTAATTGTCAAATCTTTATTCTTCTGCGAGAAATTACCATGTGAAATATGCTCTTAAGTAGTCGTATTATACAAGGAAAACTAAATGTGTTAATTAAAAAAGAAAACCAAAAGAGAACCCCACCCATCGGCTCGATGTCAATCGTGATGAATTTTTCATTCGTTGTCAGACCGAGGGGCGGAGCGTAATTGCAAAATCGATATTTCCCTATACAAATGTACGATTTTAAACATGTTTTAAATTTCTTGTTGTGAAAAGATGACTATACATATTAAGAAAAAAAGGGAAGCTGTAATTCGTCATGAGCCAAGGAGGCGGAGCTTAATTGCAAAATCCTTATTTCTCGCATGTTTTTGAGTATCGTGTTTTTCAAATAATACCTCCGAACCTTCCTTAGTCTCCCCTATGCATAAAAAAAATTAAGGATGGCGAGCTTTTGGTTTAAAACATGGTTGAAACTTGCTAATTCACAACTCTTTGTATATGAAGTTGTGCTCTAAAAAAATCAGAAAAGTATTAAAAAATGTGCTTCAAATGTCCTAAATAATCAATACAGTCCGGAATTTATGAGATTTTCATATTGATGACTGTTCATAGTACAAGTAAACGCTTTCGGATCTAGGCGAATTAGGTAAATAGGAATTGATTGACGCATATTAAATTTTGCATATTTTGACAATTTTTAAATTTTTAAAGCAAAACGTGAACTTTTTATTGCAAGTATCGGCGTTTTTAACTTCTAAATGTCGAAATCTACAAGACAATGTCTTTGGTTAAATTTCGCAAATTGTCAAAAACAATCGAAAATTTCAAAGTGGGGTGTATTGAAAAATTGAGTTTTTGAAAAAGTTGCTTAAAAAATCCCAAACAATTCTGAGATATACATTTTGACATGCCAATTGGAAAAATGTAGCTCGTTTATGACACTGGAACGAGATTTTAGAAATATCCGGTTTGAAACTGATTTTTTTTTTAATAATCTTAAAAGTTGCCACATTTCAGTTGGTGATTCTGGAAAAATGGTCGAAGTTACATTTGCCAAAATTGGTCTTATTTTAAAAGGTACTAGCCCCGCCCACCCACCCTCTCTTTTTTAGAGAGTGTCAATTACTAAAATCGATCTTATTTTAGCAGATACTAGCCCCGCCCACCGGCGCTGTTCTCATTCACGATTTTATTTCTGTTGAATATAATTCCAAACAAGCATTAAAAAATTAAAGGGAAAAATACGACAACTTATAAATAAAAAGTTTAAGAAGTACTAGAAAAGAATCAAGGTTATATTTTGTTATCAAAGGTAGCTAAAATACATAATGGAGATTCTAGTAGTGAGGTTAACATAGAACCAAATTTATTTAGCGCCCTTAAGTATGCACCCATTACGTCACTGGATGTAGAGAGGAGTTTCTCTATCTATAAATAAATTTTGTCTGATAGGCGACGTAAGTTTTTAATTGAAAACATTAAAAAACATATAGTTGCAAGTTATAACATTAATGCAGACATTTACGTATTTTTTGGTGTATCATTGCACTCGTTTTTTTTTACAAATATTTGTTATTTAGTTGTTTTTTTTTTGTGAAATGAAGTTTTTAAAATATGGCACAATATTGTTTTAAATCAAACCGATTCGACTTATGGATGCACTACCAATTTATTGTATGCTCAATAAAAAAAGTACAAAATGTGTGCATATTTTTATAAAAATTTTGCATATTTTCGTAAAATTAAAACATATTTTCTTATTTTTTGTGCATATATATGCACATATTTTGGCCAAATTTCGTGCATAAAATTCCGGACTCTAATAATAATCAACGTTGTTTCGTGTATATTGTGTTGCCTAACAAGAAAAAACAAAAAATAATTAAATATTACTTTTTAACAACCATTCATAAAGAGAATAACTAAAATTTACAACTATTTTGACTTATTAGTTGTCACATTATGGTTGCCACTAACAATAGCAGTTAGACTTATTACTATTAAAAAAAAAATTATACACTTCAAAAATTAAACCTATTTATTTTAAATAACTAAAGACAAAATTGTTTGACTAAGTTTTCTTCTGTGACCCCCTTTTTGGTACAAACAGAACTTTATTTCCCTTTGGTGGCGCAATTCCCTCCTCTAAAGCCCTCTTCTGTGCTATATCAGTCAAAGCTTTAAAAGTAAAAGGTTCCCAACACGCCAAATCCGCCAAACTCTTTCTGTTCAACATTATATTACTTCTTGACAAACTTTCCCTAAATACGTGATAATTTACATCATGCTGTTCACAACCAGCAGTAATTCGAGTCACCCATAACTAAAACCAAAAAATTAGAACATGACATCGCTACAGCACACTTCAACACACATTTGCAAGGTCTTGCTTTTTCAAAGCCCTTCCTTTAGTGGCAAAAACTAAAGCGCGATGGACGCTCCTTATAGCCAGGCTGTAACAATTTCTGCTTCTGCCGATATAGTGCTAAAAGAATTTTGGTGAACATTTATAATAAAACCGTGTAAGAAATAGTACCGCAGCCATTTTAAAAATTTTTCGTTTGCGCCAGAACTCATCGGGGCCTCTACTTCGTACAAAATTCGCAACGGAGGTAAATACCATGTTTGTAACTTGTTGTAAATTGAGGTTATGTGGCTTACTAAACGTAGTACCTAATCATCGGTCGCTCGTGTTTCACAAAGTAAAATTAACAAAAATGAGTGAAATGAGTTTTTTTTAAACGAAATGTGAGTCGTGTCGTGTCTAGATAAGTCTAATTTAGTTTGTGTGTTTGTTTTAAAGTTTGATTTGCGTCCTGTGGATAGCTGGTGTCAAATTACAAGCCGTCAATGTCAGTTGTCAATCCCCTGTCACAATGGAGGAATGATAAATATTGAGCAATAAAAATCTTTGGAATGTATTTATTTATTTTAATTATATAAATATTTATAGTGCATTCAACATGGAAATACTTCCAGGTACACTTTAGATGGTTTCTTCAGCTGTGTACTAGTTAATTGTTGTAGTGTGTGTATATTTTAAACAGTTTTCCCTAGTTTAGTGGACATGGGTATGATACTGTTTTTATTTCTTTGTACTCATATCTCGCACAAACCATTTCCATTCATGTATTCTTTCTTCTCGCATGTGCTTGTGCATATCCATTCATGTTTTACAGATTTAACAATAATAAACTCTTTCATTCACACTTTTACTTTTAGAGGGTGTCAATGCCTCCATAAAAAAGGGGCCTGGTCTCTATGAATTCCTTGTAGAAGCGGAGTTACAACATTATTTTAATAGCTTTAAGTAAGTTTATCAAGAAATATTCACCCTCGAATAACTATAGTTTGATAAAAGCCATCTACAGTAAACATTTGTTTGTTATTTTTAGAAATACGTTGAAAATTGCTCATCCTTCCCAGTTGAAATTCACAGCTGAAAGTGATTTAGTAGAAATAGGAATGTCCAAACCGGAAATGAGGCGCCTTCGTAAATACTATGATAAACATTTCCCCCACAATTATTTATCGAAATTGAAAAAAATCATCAATTATAGGAAACAGGGACAATCTTCAAATGATGCTTATCTTTTAATGAACATTGATTCTTTGTCTGTGTCAAGATCACCGAGAGTACCCAGCAAACACATCATACCGGCCGCCAGTATAACCATTAACAAGGAGTTGGGCATGGGCGAATTCGGGGTTGTCCAACAAGGTGTCTGGTGCAATGAAGGCGAAAGGATACAGGTAATTGTTTTTCCAAAAAGGAAGCGCGTAATCGCCAATAAAATGCTAATGAGGACCTTCCTTATAAGGCCTTGTCTAAACTACAGTTACCTAATGGTTCATTGCACCACAGGAAAATAATTTCATAGCGCGAGAAAAAACCTGTTTCTCTATCAAATAATTGTTGATTTGACATTGAAACTGAAGTGCTTGATTGCTGTGACTCATTATCTCAGTAAACACTTTTTGAACATTCCAGGTTGCAATAAAGTGTTTATCACGGGACAGGATGCAAAGCAACATGGTCGAGTTCCTAAAAGAGGCCTCCATCATGCACAACATCGACCACCCCAACATTGTGCGTTTTTTCGGCGTCGTCCTGCCAAACGTCGAAGGGAGCCTCATGCTTGTAACCGAATTAGCACCACTTCGCTCGCTTCTAGAGTGTCTAAAAGAGCCTTCGCTTCGATCGAGCTTTCCAGTTTTAACGCTTTGTGATTTCGCTTACCAAATATGCGACGGAATGCAGTACCTCGAGGCAAACCGTCTCATCCACCGGGATTTAGCCGCACGAAACATCCTAGTTTTTTCCAAAAGCAAAGTCAAAATCTCCGACTTCGGCTTAAGCCGGGCCTTGGGCCAGGGCAAGGATTACTACCAAACCAACTTCAACGTCAATCTCAAACTGCCGATAGCGTGGTGTGCGCCCGAGTGCATAAGTTACTTAAGATTTACGACTTCGAGTGACGTTTGGGCGTTCGGGGTCACCCTCTGGGAGATGTTCTCGTATGGGTTCCAGCCGTGGGCGGCCCTCACGGGCCAGCAGATCCTGGAGGCGATCGACGAGCCTAATTTCCAGAGGCTGGAACAGCCGGATTGCTGCCCTCTAGATCATTATAATCTGATGCTGGATTGCTGGCGGCACGAGGCGGCGGCGAGACCCAGGTTCGCCGAGATCGGGCCGATTTTGGCCGACTGCAGGCCCGAGCAAGTGCAGTCGAAGAATCCGGCGGGGGAAGGACCGCATATGCTGTCGTTCCGGGTGGGTGACGTCATTACAGTGCTGGATAAGAAGTAAGTAAAAATTCAAGCTTAGGTTCGATAAGGTCGATATGTAAAAATGACCTTGAATAAACCTGTTTTTTTTAAGTTGTTGATAATCGTATCAGTAACTTACAACAATAGTAAGTGGATTATTTAATATAGAAAAATTGTGTAAGTAATTAAAAAATGATAAGAGACTCGTGAACAATAAAAATTCTTGGTTCGGCGGTGAAGTGTGGATACAAATATTTAAACCCAATCAATTTATAAAATGTCTGTACATTTTTTGATAGCAGCGTCATGATAATTATGTTGGCGTTATATAAATATTCAAGCAGCTTTCACACGGATGCGATTGGTCACGTGATTTGAAATGCCAATCAGATACGCCTGTTAGTATTGTAGTGTTCGAGACATCACATGACCATTGAAGGTTTGTGAAAACGCGTCCATGTGAAAGCCGTCTCGGTGGGTTGTGTTGGTTGCGCGCGCATTTTCCTGATTGGTTGTTGGTGCATTTTTAGGGAAAAAGTTTTAGTTTGGGAATTGTTAACTAAATCCTATTTTATATGTATGTTGGGAATATCGTGTAGATTTTAAAATGCCAACCAAAATTTGTCTAATCTTCCCCACTAACTATTTGATTAAGGCCTTCACCACTTTGGGTAGTTAAGGTTATCTAAATTTTATGACATAATATATTGGTGGTTTATGAATCCGACATGTTTATGATGTTTATACAGGCATTTTAAAAATGAAGCAGTTTATTTTATTGGTTAAATTCTAATTTTTACGAAATTCTGGGAGTGCAAAAGTGTTATTCGTGTTATAGTCCTGTCATAAGATGTTAAATAAATTTTTATTGAAGTTGTTTGCTTTTATAAATGAGGAAAGTTCTGTAGAAATAATTTTATGATTCCTCTAAATACGATTTCAAGGAGTGATTCATGAAACTGAGTAAGACTACGTATTTGCATATTACAAACGCTTATACTTCCAGTTTTGAAACAGTGAAAAGTGACAAATACATTCCGAGACTTACGAGATTTCCAACTTTGAAATTTATTTTATAGCAACATTAAAATCGTGATTTATGATTTTAATACTCGGGGTACAAATTGTATAAAATGAATTATTTATTGTTATCAGTGTGATTCATAAAATATTTAAACCTTGTTTCCTGATAAATACGTGAATAGCGTAAATCGTAGAATTTCCCTTCTTTTGTGGTAAAACACATAATGCATTAAATTTGAATTAATTTCAAGGTCGGTTTTTCACTTTTGATTTTTTTTTAATAAATTAAATTAAAAAACCGAAAAATGGAAATCCGTAAAGTCGAAACACAGAAACAAAATAAAAAAAGATGAAATTTAAAAAATCGACAAAGTAAAAATCGAGAAAACGAAAAGTCGAAAAATTGAAATATGTACATATTGTTACGTTGATCGGTGAATAAAATCGGCGTGGGTTAAACTCAACAATTTATTTCTAAATAAGTCGGATTTACACGACTAATTACAGAGGGATTATGTACGAACTAATTCCGGCGCAACGTGGCTGGTTCTTCTTAACATTCGCTGGATTCGTGGTTCGTTGCCGAAGGTGGCCCCCATTTAAACCCATATTCCCTTCTCGATGTTTCGCAGTCGAGGTCGATCTCGAATCCATCGCGACTTCCGCTTCCAGGCCTTTCTTTAGCGAACGCCGCTTCGACCGGCCGATGAGTCATACTACATACTAGAAGACCCATAGGCGTTGTACCGGGGCGGCGTATGGGTTTATTTCGTAACAATATTAAAAAAATTTAAATCCGGAAATGGAAACATCAAAATATTGAAAAATGGAAAAATCGAAAATGTAAAATTTAAAAAATCGAAAAATCTAAAGTTTAAAAAATCTAAAAATTGAAACATCGAGAAATCGAAAAATGTCATAACCGAGATGTTTAAAAATTGAAAAATCGAAAAATTAGAAGGAAAATCGAAAAGTCGAAAAACCACAAAACCGAGCAATCGAAATTGAAAAATCGAAGTAGCCTAAAATCGAAAAATTCAAAATTGAAACATTTAAACTTCAAAATACTATATAAATCGACAAATTGGAAAATCGAATCATTGAAATGTTCATAAATCAAGAAATCGAAAAAACTGAAAAATTGAAAAATTTAAAAACCGAAAAATCAAAAATTCTAAAAATCGAAAAATTGAAAAATCAAAAAAAAAATCTTAAAAATTGGTAAACTAAAAAATCAAAAAAACGAAAACTCGGAAACTCGAAAAATCGAAAAATCACAAAACCGAGTAATCAAAATTGAAAAACCGAAGTAGCCCAAAATCGAAAAATTCAAAATTGAAACATTTAAACTTCAAAATACTGATAAATCGACAAATTGAAGAATCGAATCATTGAAATCTCCATAAATCAAGAAATCGAAAAATTCAAAAATCGAAAAATTTAAAACTCGAAAAATCGAATATTTAAAAAATGGAAAAATTTAAAAATTAAAAAATAAAATCTTAAAAATCGATAAACTAAAAAATCAAAAGAACAAAAAACTGGAAAATCGGAAACTCGAAAAGTCGGAAAATTGCAAAACCGAGTAATTGAAATTGCCCAAAACGAAAATTTCAAAATTGAAACATACCGATAAATCAACAAATTGAAAAATCGAAAAATTTAAAAACCCAAAAACTAAAAAATCAAAAATTTAAGGAATGGAAAAATTTAAAAATAAAAAAAAATTAAAAATTGGAAAATCGGAAACTCGAAAAGTCGAAAAATCGCAAAACCGAGTAACCGAAATTGAAAAATCGAGGTAGCGCAAAATCGAAAACTTCAAAATTGAAACATTTAAACTTAAAAAGTCCGATAAATCGACAAATTTTAAAATCGAATCATTGAATCTCCATAAATCAAGAAATCGAAAAAACTGAAAAATCGAAAAATTTAAAACTTGAAAAATCGAATATTTAAAAAATGGCAAAATTTAAAAATTAAAAAATAAAATCTTAAAAATCGATAAACTAAAAAATCAAAAGAACGAAAAACTGGAAAATCGGAAACTCGAAAAGTCGGAAAATTGCAAAGCGGAGTAATTGAAATTGCCCAAAATCGAAAATTTCAAAATTGAAACCTACCGATAAATCAACAAATTGAAAAATCGAAAAATTTAAAAACCAAAAACTGAAAAATCGAAAAATCAAAAATTTAAGGAATGGAAAAATTTAAAAATAAAAAAAAAATGAAAAATTGGAAAATCGGAAACTCGAAAAGTCGAAAAATCGCAAAACCGAGTAATCGAAATTGAAAAATCGAGGTAGCGCAAAATCGAAAAATTCAAAATTGAAATATTTAAACTTAAAAAGTCCGATAAATCGACAAATTTTAAAATCGAATCATTGAATCTCCATTAATCAAGAAATCGAAAAAACTGAAAAATCGAAAAATTTAAAACTTGAAAAATCGAATATTTAAAAAATGGAAAAATTTAAAAATTAAAAAATAAAATCTTAAAAATCGATAAACTAAAAAATCAAAAGAACGAAAAATTGGAAAATCGGAAACTCGAAAAGTCGGAAAATTACAAAACCGAGTAATCGAAATTGCCCAAAATCGAAAATTTCAAAATTGAAACACCGATAAATCAACAAATTGAAAAATCGAAAAATTTTAAAACCAAAAAACTGAAAAGTCAAAAATAAAATATTTAAAGAATGGAAAAATTTAAAAATAAAAAAAAATGAAAAATTGGAAAATCGGAAACTCGAAAAGTCGAAAAATCGCAAAACCGAGTAATCGAAATTGAAAAATCGAGGTAGCGCAAAATCGAAAAATTCAAAATTGAAACATTTATTAAACTTAAAAATTCCGATAAATCGACAAATTTTAAAATCGAATCATTGAAATGTCCATAAATCAAGAAATCGAAAAAACTGAAAAATGGAAAAATCAAAAAAATAAAATCTTAAAAATTGATGAACTAAAAAATAAAAAAAAAACGAAAAATAGGAAAATCGAAATAGAAAAATTGAAACATGAAGAAATGGGAACATCAAAAGATCGAGACATCGAAAAATTGAAAAATTTATCCGAAAAATCTAAAAGCGGGAAGTCGAAAAAGCCGAAGATCGAGAAATCGAAATATCAAAAAAGTGAAAAATCCAACATTTAAAAAGTCGAAAATTGAATTTAATTTCATAAATTTTTTTAAACCATTTTTTGAGTTGTGAAATGTCAATTATACACAAAAGCACGGTGGTAGAAGTAAGGTGTGGAAACCTCATTCATAACTTTCCTCAAAATCATTGGTAGAAAACACAAATCGCGTGGTTTGGATTATATGTCATTATCTGTCCACACCGCAGCGACGTCTAGAGAGATCAGTTGAAATTAAGTAATAGAAAACTGTATTAAATCTTTGACATTTATGCCAATGTCATTTATTACCCAATCACAAATGTCGAATCATCTACCAATCACACGATTCACACCAAAGACCAACCACAAACCGTAGTGCTGTGATTTATTTTCCCTCCAACGAATCTGTCACTTATTTCATTCATAAATACACGGACAAGTTGAAATGTTAATACATAGATGGACATACTGTGCTGCATACTATTTCGTAGTAAATAAGCCTACTGGGATGCGTGTTTTATTCAACAAATTGGAGCGGCTTGTTTCCACACCTTACTTCTACCACCGTGCACAAAAGCATGGATTTATTTCTATCCAAAAAGCAGCGCCAACTTGATGACTTTTTCAATAGAACATTTGTTACTTTCATTAAATAGTAAAATATTCAAAGCTGTGTTTATTAATCGTGGCAAACTAGATTTATTATTTTCCTTCTGGCTAAGTGACCAGTTTTATTTAATTTTTGTGGTTAAAAACCACTTAGAAAAAACCATCGGTAATACCCACACATTAGTTATCACTTTATTTCCGTGGTTAATGCATGTACGGAAATTTTCCGTTTGACAACCTTGTTACTATTGGTTTACAAAATAAAAAACCATCACCTCCTGAACTGGGTTGGTACAAAGTAAAACTTCTCTTTTTGGGCCTCTGTTTGTGTTTTCTGTTTTTGGAGACATCTAAATCCGCAGAAAAATTGGTTTTAATTATTTTTATATTTAGTAGTAGGCAACGGATCCGACTGTCAATTATGGACTGTCATATGCCATGCCACCAATATTTACATCAACAAACGCGTAATATTAACAAAACCAGTTATTATTTTATTTTTTAAAAACATAACAACTTTGCAGGTTCCAGCAGAAGGTAGTACAGTTGAAGTACTACTGACTGACTATTAATGATTGAAGCAAATTTTTTTGTTGGCAGTTCTGAATTATTGACAGCAATGTTAAGTTAGTTCACTTTGTAATAACCCTGTCAAATTTAGGATAATGTCGGATACCTGTGCCTTGTGCGTCACTGGTTAAGGATTTTTTATCTTGATGTTTATATGACTTTGTAAGTTGGTACCACTCACGGATTGCTAAATTCAATTTGAAATTTGACTATGACTTTTCTGTGTTACACTTGACATATTAAAATTTTAGGTCAAGCAAAACGTAGGAAGTACCAACTGATTTTAAAATTCCATGCCGCACTAGATCTCAAACATTAATGAAAGCCTTGTAGTTTTAGTAAATTACATAAAAATTTCAATCTGACTGCAAAAATTTATTGGCTATTGTGTTATTCATTGTTATTACATTAACCTGAGTTTGTCCGAAAATTAGTATTACGTAGACTCGCCAATTTGATGACGTCAGAGTAGGGCTGGCAGTCATTGACAGATAACAAACTTGACAGCCGACAGAAAGGTAGTGCTACCATCTATATAATTAGTCTCACAGTGAATTTTAATTCGTCTTATTTTCGATTCCACGGTACTTGAAAACCCTAGATAACCAACTTTAATGGGAATTAATTGTTTGACGGAGTCCATTTGTTAAAAATGTGTACTTAACATTTGTTTATAATACAATTTGATAACATTTAAAACTCAATTGGTTTATTTACTTTTTAAAATAAATAAACATGAAAGTAATCAAAAAATACTTTAGATAATATACAAATAAATACATTGTAAGTAAACATATAAAAAATAGATGAATTGTAAATTAAAAAAAAAACTTCTTGTAGAACACATCATCCCCTTTGGAAGGGCGTAACTTCGAGCGGGAAAACCGGCCTTTTTGACCCCATCAACGTCGTAGCCTACCTTGGTAGCGACTTACCAAGTTCATCGTTCCTTCGTACTGACAGTACAAGATCGTCATCTCGCAAAAAACTAAGAAGCGAGATGATCAGCGCTCCTCAAGGCGATCTGAAACACACCGGTCACGTCGGCCTTGACGGGGCGTACTTCGGCGACTTAAGCTTTTTGGGTGGTTCCAAAGGCAATGTAAGTAAATTTTGAAACCTTTACGAAATAAATAAATACCAAAAAAAAAAGGGGTGTACCAGATTTTATAGTCTCGAGAATTGAAATAACTCTTTTCAACAGATCTCTTAACTACGAGACGTTTTTAATACTCTCTTATTACAATTCGCCACCCTCTTCTCACATGCATCATTCTCGTAACATAGGTCAGTGTAAACAACCCAAAAAAGTGGTGTTTAAGTGTCATCATCTACCATCATTTTTTCTACAACTTCAACCATTCCATTTTTAGTTACTCGTAGTTTAGTCACAATTCAAGTTGCTAAAACTACTTTATCACACAGTACGGTTCAGTTCCCACTCAAGTCGTGGCACCCTACCGCCCCCACAAGGACCTCGAGGCCGCCCCGCTCCTCGAGGGTGACCGCGACCACGTTCCTGCGCCTGCGCCTCTGCAAGATCACGAGTACCACGAGATCAGTGATGAAGAAAACACCAACAGCCCCCATCTTGACCTAGGGCCGTCACTAATGGCCGAAATGGAACTAATGTTGAGTTCGTTCGGCCAGCCGAACCAGTCCCTGGATCACGAAGGGTCGAACAGGAGTAACGAACTACGAGAGAAGCTGAACACGAAATCGAGGAAACAAGCGACGATCAAGCCCATCTCGACGCACGACCAGAAGACGCTGGACACCGCGATCGCCCTCGCCAACGAGCTGACGACGAGGTCGATGTCGGCACCGGCGCCGACGACGCCGGCCTCGCCGAGCAAGAAGAAATTCAGTTTCAGGTTCCCGTCGGTCGGCGAGCACGACAAGAGCACGGAGCGGAGGAATTTCTCGGAGGAGGCGCTGTCGACGTCGGATTTGCAGGTACTGTGCCTTTGGATGGTACTATGATGTGTCTGATGGGTAGTGGAAGTGGCAATAAGTCATTTGAACGTGGAGATGGCGGTAATGTTATTTGGGAAATGTTTCATACTCGTGTACTTACCGAGATGTCTACCAATTTCCGTGCTTGTTACGCAGGAAAGTGGATTACTGTAATTTAATCTTCGAGCGTATGGTACACAGCATTATGTACGTAACAGGCGAACATTAATTCCAGGATTTAAACTAAATCTCGAATCGATTTTACAAACACAGGATTTAAAGTTCTTTCAAGTATTTAATGGCTTCACGGCCACAATAAACTAGACACAATACATGTTACAACTTTAAATAGTGATGTTTGACTATCTATCTATTATGACGTATTAACTTGACGGTTACTATTTAACTTCTTGCACTATATTCCGTTCACCGAACAGATGGAATTGTAAAAATGCGTGAGCATCAGGTGCTTTTTTAAAACCTGACTATTATTTGAGGGATGTCGGCCGTTTTCACACAGATCAAAAAATTATATCTGTTCTTTGCGCATAAGTCACCTGAATTTTTCCTTTATTAAGATGGATTTAATAAAAAAAAAACTTAACAATCGGGCTAAAATTGTATTAATCTTGATGTTATCGTGTAAACTGGGACACTCACTTTATTACGCACGTGATCGCTCCATCTGTTCGGTAACCGGACTATAGCACTGACCATTGAAACTTGTTAAAACTCGTTTTTTTTTAATCTTATCCCCGCAACACAAAAATTGTTCAAGTATTTGTTACAAATGTCGTGGAATAGCTCCAAAAACACACTCAGCTGGGCAAAATTAGTCAAGAAACTTAAATCTTCGGCAGATTGAAATATGTTTATTTTTTGAGCAATTTTTCCTAGCTATCTGGTCAAAATTTTAGATCTCGGTTAAACGTTGTACCTGGATTTGTCTGAAAATTACTCCTGTCACTAATTCGGACCTCTTGAATAAGAATTTGTGCCCAAACAAATTGTAGAAGGGCTCCTATTTTTTTTTAATTTTTTAATATTCGAGTCTTCCTAAAATGACACCGTCCGATAAATATGGACATAGATTCTAAACGGGCAAAAATTTCGGCCTTAAGACCAGCTAATGTAACTAGAAAATTTCAAGAAATTGAACGGTAAAAACCGGAATACGAAGTCTTTGTCGGTTCGAAAGTAATGAACCGTCAAACTCACAATTTTGTTTTTTTTGAGTTTTTGTTAAAAGAGCATATTCCTTAAAATAGTGAAAATTTTCAACAAGTCATGGCAAAAACACAATTAGTCTAGAACCTTAATTTTAGGCAGATTTAAACATGTTTGTAAGTTATTCCGGTCAAAATTTTCGAATTTAGAACATATGTGAGTTAAACGTATCTCGATTTATCTGAAAATTACTCGTGGCCCTAAAGTAAGTCGATTTTGGCAAATCATATAGCCTCTAAGAAAAGAGAGGGTGGGTGGGCGGGGCTAGGACTCGCTAAGATAAGACTGATTTTGGCGAATGATATACCCGTTGTCAAAATTTACGATCGATTTTTGAAAGTGTAAACTGTGTACTTAAAAAATTTTTGAAAAGAATCTAGGGAAAACGGTGTACTAGCCCCACCTGCGCACTATTTTCTTGGAGAGTATGTCATTCGCCAAAATCGATATCAGATTAGTAGGTACTAACCCCGCCCACCTATTTTCTTAGAGGAATCTCATGTGCCAAATCAGTCTTATCCTAACAAGTACTAACCCCGCCCACCCACCCTCTCTTTTTTTAGAACGTATGTCATTTGCCAAAATCAGTCTTATCCTAGGTAGTAGCTGCTAAGATAAAACTGCTTTTGGCTGAGAAAAGAGAGGGTGGGTGGGCGGGGCTAGTATTTTGCTAGGGCAAGACTGATTTTGGCATATGAGATCCTCCTAAGAAAATAGAGGGTGGGTGGGCGGGGTTAGTACCTCCCAAAGTAAGTCGATTTTGGCAAATCACAGCCTCTAAGAAAAGAGAGGGTGGGTGGGCGGGGCTAGTACTTGCTAAAATAAGACTGATTTTCGCGAATGATATACCCGTTGTCAAAATTTACGACCAATTTTTGAAAGTGTAAACTGTGTACTAGTCCCACCCATCCACTATTTTCTTAGAGACTGTCATTCGCTAAAATCGATCTTAGATTAGTAGGTACTAACCTCGCCCACCTATTTTCTTAGAGGAATCTCATGTGCCAAATCAGTCTTATCCTAACAGGTACTAATCCCGCCCACCCACCCTCTGTTTTCTTAGAAGGTATGTCATTTGCCAAAATCAGTCTTATCCTGGGTAGTAGCTGCTAAGATAAAAGTGCTTTTGGCTAAGAAAAGAGAGGGTGGGTGGGTGGGGCTACTATTTTGCTGAGGTAAGACTGATTTTGGCAAATCAAATACCCTTCTAAGAAAAGAGAGGGTGGGTGGGCGAGAGTAATACCTGCCAAGGTAAGACTGATTTTGGCAAATAAGATTTTCCAAGAAAATAGGGGGTGGGTGGGCGGGGTTAGTACCTGCTAAATCGATTTTGGCAAATCACATAGCCTCTAAGAAAAGAGGGGGTGGGTGGGCGGGGCTAGATTTTAAACGGGCGAAGATTTCGGCTTGAATACTAGCCAATGAGACTAGAAAACTTTAACGAATTCAGTGGTAAAAACCGGAATCCGCTCTTTTTGTCTGTTTAAAAATTATGGACCGTCAAACTCATAATTTTGGTTTTTTGAGTTTTTGTTAAAAACGATTTCGCTTTAAATAGTGAGAATTTTTAACAATTGATGGCAAAAACGTACTCAGCTTGAGAAAATTAATCTAGAACTTAATTTAAACATATTTGTTGATTGCGCAATTTTTCCGGAGTTATTCCTGTTAAAATTTTCGAATTTAGAACATATTCTATGGGTAAAACTTATCTCGATTTATCTGAAAATCACTCCTGTCCCTAATTCGTACCTCCTGAATAAGGATCTGGTACCAAAAAAATTGTAGAAGGGCTGCTAATTAAAAAAAAAAAAAAAAAAATTAATATTGGAGTCTCCCGAAAATGACACCATCCGATAAATATGTACATAGATTGGAAATGAGCAAAGATTTTGGCCTAAAGACTAGCTAATATGACTAGAAAACTTCAGGAAATTCAGTGGTACAACCCAGAATACGCCTTCTTTGTCCGTTTAAAAGCTATAGACCGTCAAATTCACAATTTTGTTTTTTTTTAGTTTTTTTAATAAGAAGGGTTTCGCTTAAAATAGTAAAAAGTTTTAAGAACTGATGGTAAAAACGCACTCAGCTGGTCAAAATTAATCTAGAAACTTAATTTCAGACACATTCAAACATGTTTATGTTTGGAGCAATTTTTCCGGAGCTATTCCGGTCAAAATTTTCGGGTTTAGGACATATCTCGGTTGAACGTACCTCGATTTGTCTGAAAATTACACCCGTCCCTAATTCGAGCCTACTGAACAAGAATCTGCTACCAAAAAAGTGGTAGAAGGACTCCTAATTTTTATAAAAAATTTAACATTCGAGTGTCCCGAAAATGACACCATCCGATAAATATGTACATGAAGACTACCCAATGTGACTAGGAAACTTCAAGAAGTTCAGTGGTAAAAACCAGAATACGCTCTCTTTGTCCGTTCAAAAGTTATAGACTCACAATTAAGGTTTTTTGAATTTTGGCTATAGAAGGATTTTGCTTAAAATAGCCAAAATTTTCAACAACCAATGGCAAAAACGCACTCAGTAATGAGTCTACAAACTTAATTTCAGGCAGAATGAAACATGTTTATTTTTGAGTAATTTCCGATAACGTGGTCTACGTTTCGAAACAATTAAATATTTAGTTCGAAGGTTTTCTTAATTATTACAACCGTTTCACATGACTTGTTCGCCATTCTCCATAACTACCGATTTCAAAGCACACTCAATTTCTACAACACATACAGTGCATCCAAAACCAACACGAAACATGTGGACGTACTGTATATTTTTGAAGCGCAATTCGCACACATGCCAAGCGCAACATAACTTTGTATGTTTATTATAATTGCTCTAATTTAGAACACTATACTAACACTGAGTCTTTTCCCCTCCCCCCGCCTCCCCCTCGTTTTATTTATTTCTTATTCTTCCCCACACTTTCCGTTAGAAATTCACAAGTTCACCATCCTCCCTCGACGAGCTTTCCAACAACAGCTTACGCCTTCCGCTTTGGGACAAAGCTTCAGCCGAATTCTACTTCGCGAAGTCGCGCGAACTGCTCTCTCGTCCATTCCCGTCGACCCACCGAGCTCCGCACAGCTCATGCCGCAACTTATCGAGCTTACACGACGACGCATTCGTCCACCAAGAACTCGGTTTCGAGAACCAGTTCCAGAACTTATCGTTCGAAGACAACTACTACCGACCGCAGATGCAATACCGGGATCGGACCTTAACCAAATCCGAGAACATGGCTCGGAAGACCTACTCGGCCGAGCCGAGGTTCCCCACCCACGGTTTTTTCCGCGACCCCCTCCCCCCCGAACCCGTAGGGTACAACGCCAACGGGTCCCAGTACTTCGAGACGTCGTACATTTACTATAAGACTGATAACGTGTTTGATGGTAGTTTCGATAAAGACTTAAAATACGAACGACAGACTGTGAAGAAAGACTTTTTCGAGAGGCCTCGGACGCTGAGCTTCAGCGACACGCAGGAGAACATACCGCGCAAGAACGGCCGAAGTATACGCGACCGCAACCGAAGGCGGCAGTCGTACAACCCGAAGGCGTACGAGTCGAGCTCGAGCGACAGCGACTGCATCAGCGTCGGGTCGGTGGACCTGGACTGGCGCAGGCGCAGACGCCTGTCTCGGCTGTCGGCCTCGAACAGCAGCATACGCTCGGAGATGTGCAAGAGGTCGACCAACCCATTCCTGAAGCCCAATTTCGGGTCGAAGGTCATGGGGCGGTCGCCGCCTCCGAGCAACAGCATCCTGAGCGGGCTGTCGCCGACGTCGGCGGCGCGGTGCCAGCAGCGGTCGTCCAATTCGACGTCCTCGGATTCTAGCTTGTAAAGAGTGCCGGGCTGGGTGGGGGTTGCGATTTACTGAGCACGATTTTGTAGGGATAGCGAATTAGCCAATCAGGTTCTGTTGCGATTGACGGCTGAAAATGCCGCTTTCACGTTTCCGTCTGTCTGTCATTTGTTGGCGGGTTGATTACTTTAGTTTTTGGAGGTACTTTGAGATTGTTGTACACTTCCTAAGTGCAAGCTAATGAAATAATCAAGTCCATTTTCATGTTTTCTCTACGTTTTACGACTTTTACAGTATGTTTCCGTCTGTCTGTCTGTCTGTCTGTCTGTCGTCTATTAATTTTTATTGGACAGTCTCCGAATTACTGGTCAGATTTTGTATGTATATTAGGAATATCACCAACAATAATGAAATAATCATGTAGATGGTAAAACGTTCACCAAAATTTGGTTAATCATCCCCACCATCAACGGGATGACCTCATCTGCAAAATTTACAATATATTTTTTTCAATTTTATAAAAAATAAAATACTCCTGCACTTGTGATGTATGAATGCGTATTGAGTTAATTTTTACCCTAGACATCCAGATTTTGTAAAAAAAAATCAAAATTGTGTAAGAACATTTTGCAATTTAACTTTGAAACTGCAAAATCGAATGCTTTGAAATCTTACAAACGTTTTAAATCGTTAATGAAAATTTATTTGTTTATCCACTCGCAAAAAGATTGGTGACGTCATCTCAAAATTTTGAGTAATAAACCCTCTGAAATTCGCAAAATCAAATTTCATCATTTTTCGAAAAATCTGGATTTATCTAATTTGACCCATTTTTTGATATCACAATTTTTCGTTTTTTCAACTTCGATTTTTTCAATTTCTTCATTTTTCGTTTCTTTAATTTTTCGATTGGTAATTTTGCCATATTACAATTTTTCATTTTTTTTGTTTCCTCAGTTTTTCACGCTCTTCATTTTCATGGTTTTTTAATTTTCATTTTTTTTTATTCGAAAAGTTAAAAAATCAGAAAATTGAGAAATTAAAAATCAAGAAATTTAAAAATCGAAAAAATTAACGAATCGAAAAATTGGAAAGAAGAAAAAACGAATCCAATCGAAAAATTGGAAAATCCAAAAATTATAAATCGAAAAATCCAAAAATTGAAAAATCGAATAAATGAAAAAGTTTTAAAATCAAATAATTGAGAAATGGAAAAAATCTAAAATAGTAAAATTGAAAATGTGAAAAGTTTTAAAAATCATTATTATTACATATTTACAATGAAAAGTAGAAAAATTGTAAATCAAAAATTGAAGAAACGAAAAATAATTTTTCATTTTCTTTCATTTTCAATTTTTCCTCCTTTCAATCTGTCGATTTCATAATTTTTCGTTTTTTTAACTTTAATTTTTTCAGTTTTTCAATTTCCCGATTTCCAATTTTTTTCCATTTGTGATTTTTCAGTTTCTTAATTTTGGACTTTTCGATTTTTCAATTTTTCGTTTCCTGAATTTTATCACAATTGTTCGTTCATTCAAATTTTAAATTTTCAATCTTCAATTTCTCAGTTTTACAATTTTGGCGTTTTTTGTTTATTCGAAAAGTTGAAAAATCGAAAAATGCGAATCGAAGAATTGAATAAACGATAAATTCAAACATTGAAAAATTAAAAATCCAGAAATTTGAAAATCGAAAAAATTAACGAATCGAAAAATTGGAAAGAAGAAAAAACGAATCGAATCGAAAAAAAGCTAGGAAAGTTCAAAAAATTGTTAAATCGTAAAATTATAGAATCGTCAAAATTCGAAAGTTAAAAAACTGTCACATTGGAAGATCGAAAAATTGAAAAATTATATATGGAAAAATTAAAAAACCGAATAAATGAAAGTTTTAAAATCAAATAATTGAGAAAGGGAAAAAATCTAAAATAGTAAAATTGAAAATGTAAAAAGTTTTAAAAATTATTATTACATATTTACAATGAAAACTCAAAAAATTGTAAATCAAAAATTGAAGAAACGAAAAATTAAAAAATCTAATAGTTGAAAATACAAAAAGTTATTTTTTCATTTTCTTTTATTTTTCAATTTTTCCACCTTTCAATGTTTCGATTTCAGAATTGTTTGTTTTTTCAACTTTAATTTTTTCGGTTTTTCAATTTTCCGATTTCCAATTTTTTTCAATTTTTGATTTTTCGATTTTTCAATTTTTCGTTTCCTGAATTTTATCACAGTTGTTCGTTTTTTCATTTCCTTCATTTTTTCAATGTTTCTTTCGATTTTATATTTTTTTTATTCAATTTTTCAAATTTTCAGTCTTTGATTTCTCACTTTTACAGTTTTGGATTTTTTTTATCCGAAAAGTTGAAAAATCAAAAGCTTGAAAAATCGAAAAAATACGAATCGAAGAACTAATTCGACGACAAACGACGATAAATTCAAATATTGAAAAATTAAAAATCGAGAAATTTAAAAATCGAAAAAGTTAACGAATCCAAAAATTGGAAAGAAGAAAAATTGAGTCGAATCGAAAAATTGCAAAATTGTAAAATTATAGAATTCGTCAAAATTCAAAAGTCGAAAAACTGTAAGATTGAAAGATCGAAAAATTGAAAAATCGAATAAATGAAAAAAATGTTAAAATCAAATATGTAATTGAGAAATTGAAAAAATCTAAAATAGTAAAATTGAAAATGTTAAAAATTTAAGAAACGAAAAATTAAATAATCTAAAAGTTGAAAGAATGAAAATTTGTTTTTTTGTTTTCTTTCATTTTTCAATTTTTGAATCTTTCAGTGTTTCGATTTCATGTTTTTTTCCATTTTTCGATTTTTTAGTTTCTTAATTTTGAATTTTTCGATTTTTCAATTTTTCGTTTCCTCTATTTTATCACAATTGTTCGTTTTTTCATTTCCTTTATTTTTTCAATGTTTCTTTCGATTTTATAATTTGTCGTTTATGCAGTTTTTCAAATTTTCGATTGTCGATTTTTCAGTTTTTCAATTTTTGTATTTCCCAATTATCCAATTTTTCGTTTCTTGATTTTTCAAGTTCTTAATTTCCAATTTTTATATTTTTCAAAGTTTTCATTTTTACACTTTTTCGTTTTTTTCATTTTTGACTTTTCAGATATACAATTTTGCAGTTTCTCCGTTTTCTTTTTATTCGAAAAGTTGAAAAATCAAAAAAATGAAAAAACGAGAAATTGCAAAATCGAAAAATTACAAATCGAAAAACTGGAACGATAAATTAAAACATTGAAAAACTAAAAATCGAGAAACTTAAAAACCGAAAAAATTAATGAATGGAAAAATTGGAAAGAAAAAACGAATGGAATCGAAAAATCAAAAATCAAAAAATTGTAAAATCGAATAAATGAAAAAGTTTTAAAATCAAATAATTGAGAAATGGAAAAATTCTAAAATAGTAAATTGAAAAAGTGAAAAGTTTTAAAAATTATTATTATTACATATTTACAATGAAAACTAGAAAAATTGTAAATCAAAAATTGAAGAAATGAAAAATTGAGAAATCCAAAAAAAATCGCATTGAAAAAAAGAAAAACTATAAAATCGGAACACCGAAAAACCGAAAAATTGAAAAAATAAACAAAATAAACCCAAACGAAAAATTTAAAAATTGAAAAAATTTTGCCGAAGAAATCCCACCTAAAATAGGCAAAATATGATGAGTCACAACTTATGATTTATCATATGCATTCACATTTTTCAGAATTGCTTATCCAGGGTGATTCAAACAAATTCATGAATCAGTTAATTTATTTTTTTGATTAAATCATTCCATTTTCTCGAAATTTTGGTAATAGAATACCGTTATTATTAGTGTTATGGTGTACATATTCAAATTGATATACGTGTCCTTTTATAATGGGCACGCTCATTTGAAACACACACATAACATGCTTCTCTACCTTACTTTAAGATTACATACATAACTTTATTTTAACTAATAAGGTTTATCATAAAAAAAATTGCAAAATTCAATCTTATAATTTTTCGAAAAAAAAAAAAGAAATATTGTATTTTACTCTAGGAACGGGGGAAGTTCTGTCTAAATAACTTTAGACCATTTTTTGTCTGTTTCTTGTCCTTAAAAACGTGGTAAATATTTTTATTGTTCATTTATCTCAGAAAGTCCATTACAAATTCATTCCAAATTTTGATAAACTGGTGCAGTTACTGTAGGATCCCAAAATATTATTTACCACAATTTCTATATTAATCCCCTCTAGAAAACTGATGATGTCATCTCAAAAATTATTATGAAATAAATATTTACTGAAAAACGCACTAAAGTTGGTATTGATTGTCCTTCAAAGACAAAGGAAGTTCGCCACAAACGCTTAGTAGATTTTTTTACCTACACGTCTTGAAGTTGATGTTATTTTAACACAAAACAAAAAAGAAATTATAGTTCACGGTTAGTGAGTGTTTGCTTACTCAGTACATAGATTTAAGTAACTTAAGTCGATTGCAACCAATGAAAATCGCCGCCCCCACCTCAACAAGAGCTTAACGTGAACATCACAAAATCAGAACTACTAACTATAAATTGCTACCGACTAATTTAACGTAGCGTTTAATACTTTGTTATACACTTTATTATACGTAACGTATCCCTCCCATTTACATTACGATAGCAATATCTGTAGGAATGTTATTGACAACTTTGTATAATCTTCACAAAGACGCTTCAATTACGGTATCGGCCGCACCCCACTCAATTTAATTTCTTTCTTTTTTTCTCTCCTAACCTTTTTTGTTTTTATTGTTTTATTTCTTTTTTCCCTTTAGTCCAAAGTTACACAAGAAGCTCAAATGGCGTATCAGGGTCTTGTAGAAAGCCCCTCGGCCGACGTCACGCAGGTGAGCTATAGTTTGTTGTTGCTTCCGCCCAAACCGAACCCGCTCGATTCCAGCTCATGGTCACTAATCCATTACGAATTCTGCGTTCGGGTCAGCCCGTCATCAACCCGAGAACGCGTTCGGCTAGCGTCGCCAGCACCCTTCCACCGAAATTGCACGAATCCGTACGAAATTCTGTGCCCGAGAATCTGAATGGAACAAAAACAGGTTTGTCAACGCATTTGTAGTTTTAACACGAAACTCTCTAGATTTATCCACAGACGAGCTGCCGCCAAGACAGAATTTCTCCAGTCATACTCTCCCGCACTCATCGGAGTTTACTCACAGGGATGACAATCCCATCCCCCTACCTCCACGTGATCGCAATAAAACACTACTCGCTGCTAAACCGAGACATACTCGAAAACATCCCCTAATCATACCGCCGACGAATTTACAAAGAACTTTGGATAAAATTAATACTGTAACGCCGCCTGCTACAACAACGGTTGATCCTTTTCAGACTACCGATTTGCCGGTTTACTCAAATAGTGTTACTCAGATTGCTGATAAAAATCCAGAGTCTATACATTTTGAAGCTCAGATCGAGTCAGATCTGAATGCTTTGGACGAGATTCCGCAAGAACAGGATGTTGTGGATGGTGTTGCGCACAATTTTGGAAATATGAAGGTCGAGGATGAGAGCAAATTGAGCAGTCATCATGTGAGCTGTGAGGATCTTTTGAAGTTCGCTAATGCGAAACCGAGCTCGAGGACACGGGGAATCGATTCGGATGAAGTGAGGATTATGTTGAAGGTTCTAGGGAAAGATGTAAGTATTGTCTAAATTTAAATCTGTACATTTCTACTTCCCGAGTTAAGTGAAGGAAGTACTATAATCGAGTCCATCGGACGAATAGCCACTTTTATGTTTTCTCGACGTTTCATGACCCCTATAGTATGAAAAAAGTAGTCTCCCGATTGTTGTCAAATTTTGTATGTGTATTAGAAATATCATGTAGATGGCTGAATGCTAACCAAAATTTGGCTAATCATTCCCACCAACAATTTGATGACGTCATTTCAATGAATGGTATTCTAAAATGATTTGAATGTTACACAAAAATATACGCATATACTTATAGAGTACGATCCACTTTCAGTTTTTTCGCTAAACCAGTGTTTTTTTTTTTAATTCGGGAAACTCTTGGGTACCCATGGTGAGATTTTTTTTTGTAAATTATTTAAAACAATTTTAGGGGACTTTGGTGTTCTATTTATGGAAAATTCTGACCTGACCTGTTTTTGAGTTAATTTCGGGACCCCGTTTTTTGTTTTTTTTTTTTTTTTTATTTAAAACAATCTTGAGGTTCTAGGTATTCCTGTGTGGAAAGAATTTGAAAGTGTTGCCTCCAGTGTCTTTTCTTATAGTAATTTAATTAAATTTCTTAGACGATACGTCATTTGCTAGAATCACTCTTATCTTAGCAGGAACTAGCTCCGCCCACCCACCCTCTCTTTTCCTAGAGGATATCTCATTTGCCAAAATCAGTTTTATCTTAGCTGGTAGTAGCCCCGCCCACCCACCCTTTCTTCTTTTAGAAGGTATTTCAAAACTCAAAAATCAAAACATTGAACAACCGAATAAATGAAAATGTTTTAAAATCAAATAATTGACAAACGGAAAAAATGTAAAATAGTAAAATTGAAAATGTGATTTTTTTTTTAATTATTATTATTATATACTTACAATGAAAACTAGAAAAATTGTAAATAACAAAATGAAGAAACGAAAAATTCAAAATCTGAAATTGTTTTTTCGTTTTCTTTCATTTCTCAATTTTTCCAAACCTTCCAGTGTTTGGGTTTCATATTTTTTTGTTTTTCCATTTCCTTATTTTTTTCAATGTTTCTTTTGATTTTACAATTTTTCGTTTATTCAATTTTGCAAATTTTGAATTTCCCAATTATCCGTTTTTCAGATTTCTTTAATTTTCAATATTTTGATTTTCAAGTTTGTCAACTGTTAGTCTTTCGATTTTTCAATTTTTAAAGTTTTCGATTTCCAATTTTTATGTTTTTCAAAGTTTTCATTTTAATACTTTTTCGTGTTTTCATTTTTGATTTTTCAGTTTTGCAATTTTTCCATTTTTTTTATTCGAAAAATTGAAAAATCAAAAAATTGAAAAAACGAGAAATTGCAAAATCGAAAAATTGCAAATTGAAAAACTGAAGAAACCATAAATTGAAACATTGAAAAACTAAAAATGGAGAAACTTAAAATCGAAAAATTGGAAAACTCAAAAATTGTAAAATCGTCAAAATTCTAACGTCGAAAAACTGTAAGATTGAAAGATCGAAAAATTGAAAAATTAAATACTGAGCAATTAAAAATTCTAATCGAAAAATAAAAAATTTTGATAATCGAATAAATGACAAATGGCAAAAAAGTAAAATAGTAAAATTGAAAATGTGAAAAATTTCAAAAATTATTATTGCATACAATGAAAACTAGAAAAATTATAAATCAAAAATTGAAGAAACGAAAAATTAAAAATTTAAAATGCTTTTTTCATTTTCTTTCAGTTTTCCATTTTTCCATCTTTCAGTGTTTCGGTTTCATAATTTTGGGTTTTTTCAACTCTAATTTTTTTCAGTTTTTCAATATCTCATTTTCCATTTTTTCCATATTTCGATTTTTCAGTTTCTTAATTTTGGCTTTTTCGATTTTTCAATTTTTCGTTTCTTCAATTTTGTCACAATTTTTTGTTTTTTCATTTCCTTGATTTTTTCAATGTTTCTTTTTTATTTTACAACTTTTCGTTTATTCAATTTTTCAAATTTTGGATTTCCCAATTATCCGATTTTCAGATTTCTTTTATTTTCAATATTTTGATTTTAAGTTTGTCAACTGTTCGATTTTTCAATTTTTCAAGTTCTCGATTTCCAATTTTTATATTTTTCAAAGTTTTCATTTTAATACTTTTTCGTGTTTTCATTTTTGATTTTTCAGTTTTGCAATTTTTCCATTTTTTTTAATTCGAAAAGTTGAAAAATCAAAAAATTGAAAAAACGAGAAATTGCAAAATCGAAAAATTGCAAATTGAAAAACTGAAGAAACCATAAATTGAAACATTGAAAAACTAAAAATGGAGAACCTTAAAATCGAAAAATTGGAAAGAAAAAACGAATCGAAAAATTGGAAAACCCAAAAATTGTAAAATCGTCAAAATTTCAAAGTCGAAAAACTGTAACATTGTAAGATCGAAAAATTAAAAATTAAATACTGGGCAATTAAAAATTCTAATCAAAAAATCAAAAAATTTGATAATCGAATAAATGAAAAAGTTTTAAAATCAAATAATTGACAAATGGAAAAAAGGTAAAATAGTAAAATTGAAAATATAAAAAATTTTAAAAATTATTATTATTACATACAATGAAAACTAGAAAAATTATAGATCAAAAATTGAAGAAACGAAAAATTAAAAATTTAAAATGCTTTTTTCATTTTCTTTCGTTTTTCGATTTTTAAGTGTTTCGGTTTCATAATTTTGGGTTTTTTCAACTCTAATTTTATTCAGTTTTTCAATTTCTCGATTTCCATTTTTTCCACATTTCGATTTTTCAGTTTCTTAATTTTGGCTTTTTCGATTTTTTTCATTTTTGATTTTTCAGTTTTACAATTTTGCAATTTTTCCATTGGTTTGATTCGAAAAGTTCAAAAACTGAAGAAACCATGAATTGAAACACTGAAAAACTAAAAATCGAGAAACTCAAAATCGAAAAATTGGAAAGGAAAAACGAATCAAATCGAAAAATTGGAAAACCCAAAAATAAAATATCGAGAAATTTAAAAATTATAAATCAAAAAACTGAAAAATCGAATAAATGAAAAACTTTTAAAATCAAATAATTGAGAAATGGATAAATTCTAAAATAGTAAAATTGAAAAAGGGAAAATTTTAAAAATTATTATTATAGTGAACCAAGAGTTATAAGGTTATATGGCCATCATAAAATCATCCCATTGTGTCGAAGTTAAGTTGTTTACAATAGAAAAGGTTTTAGGGTAGTAAATAACGTGTCCACTGCAGCTCGACCGGCTCTTGTGGTTTCGTTCAGGGGCGGCTTTCACTAAATATGAAAATCCACCACTCCACTATTTCTTTATTACCTGCAGCCGCTGAGGGTTCCAAAATAACCACTCGCTTTGAAAGCCGGCCCTGTTAAATATCAGCAAGAAATGTTTAGAAGATGATTTATTGCCAACCGGTAAGCTTAGTGCGAACCACTCAAAGGGGGTATTTATTTGCGGTCAACTACTGTTATGATGGCCATATAACCTTATAGCTCTTGGTTCACTATAATACATGTTTACAATGAAAATTAGAAAAATTGTAAATCAAAAATTAAAATTGAAAAAACGAAAAATTAAATCTAAAAGTTGAAAAACCGGAAAAACTGAAAAATCCAAAAATTTAAAATTTTCACATTGAAGCAATTAAAAAATCGGAACATTGAAAAACTGAAAAATTAAAAAAAATTAATAAAATGAACTGAAACGAAAAATTTAAGAAATACAAAATTTTGTCGAAAATGGACACTCATTTTGTTCAATTGTGGTTTAATTAATAGTTTTAGCCCTGTTTTGAGAAGACAATCTGATTCAAATCGAATCAACTTCTACGTGACATTCTTTCGATGTATAAACATAAATAAAAACTTGAGCTTTAGATTGCTATTACTTACTGCTGAAGGACAAGGGGTGTTATTTATGCCTCTGGTTTTTACTTTACAGCAGTTATCACAAAACGAAAATCATAAAATCAAATTTTATCATTTTTTTAAGAACTGGATTTGTCGGATTATACTTTTAGCCTTCGACCAGTTTTTATTGATCAAATTAAGTGCCTCATTTTTTTTTTATTTGCTCATACAGAATTACTCAAAAAAAATGAATGAGTCAATTTATTTTACGGTATAAATCAAGAATTGCAAAACTGAATACTATGAAATTTTGGAGACGTTTTAAAGTTATTGTAAGCATGGTAAATTGTTAATCAAAATCTATCTGTTTATTCCCCCCCCAAAAATTGATGATGTCATCTCAAAATTTTGCCGAATAAATTCTACCCAAAATGTGATGTGATTTTACTTGTGATTTATCATTGCATTCAAATTTTTTAGATTTGTTTAAACAAGTGGTTCAAAAAAAAATAGTATATTATTAGCCAAGGTTGCAGAGACAAGCATTCTAGACCGAGCGCAAATTAGAACCCGAGACGCGCAGTGTCGAGGGCTTTAAGTGCGAGGTCTAGAAGTGGCTTTGCAACCGTGGTTAATATACTATTTTTTTCACTAGTAGAAACCATAAGACAATAAACTGAAAAATAAACGTTCAATTTTTTGACGCAACATGATTTTGTTTTGATTTCTAATCAAACTTGATCTAAATCTTCAACACAAAGAAAACCATTTATACTTGTCGCTGAGTTAATTATTTTATCTTCTACCGTCTACCAACTACCATGCGTATACTCAAGTAATGTTTGTAGCACACATTTGTTCATTTTTTAAGAAATAATCACATCAAACATTGCGTACATAACCTCAATTTTTCTTTTTGAACCCGTGGTAGCAAAAGTTGAATTTGCTACCACTAAATGAGTCGACATTTGCATGCGTCCAGGCTGCTAGTGAAAAATAGTATATTATTAGCCAAGGTTGCAGAGCCAAGCATTCTAGACCGAGCGTAAATTAGAACCCGAGACGCGCAGCGTCGAGGGCTCTAAGTGCGAGGTCTAGAAGTGGCTTTGCAACCGTGGTTAATATACTATTTTTTTCACTAGTAGAAACCATAAGACAATAAATTGAAAAATAAACGTTCAATTTTTTGACGCAACATGATTTTGTTTTGATTTCTAATCAAACTTAATCTAAATCTTCAACACAAAGAAAACCGTTTATACTTGTCGCTGAGTTAATCATTTTATCTTCTACCGTCTACCAACTACCATGCGTATACTCAAGTAATGTTTGTAGCACACATTTGTTCATTTTTTAAGAAATAATCACATCAAACATTGCGTACATAACCTCAATTTTTCTTTTTGAACCCGTGGTAGCAAAAGTTGAATTTGCTACCACTAAATGAGTCGACATTTGCATGCGTCCAGGCTGCTAGTGAAAAAAATATTTTATTGATTAAATCAGGAACGGCTCACTCCATTTTTCTAGAAAATTTTGGGGATATAAAACTGTTATTTTTAGTTTACACTACACCAATCCAAGTTGATATACGTGTCCTTGGGAAAATGTTAATGACGTCATCACAAAATTGTTGACTCAGCTCGAAAATGCTGGATATGTTTCATTGTACTGCCGAAATAACTTTCGGACATTTTTTTTCATTGGAATTGGAATGTACCGCCTAGTCGAAAAACGGGCTCTGCTAATTGTGCCGCCTTTCAAAAACTGAACATATACTATAAAGGCGCGGTATTTGATTTTTTCGAATTTTCAGGTTTCTAAAGAAAAATGTGTAGAAGCCTTGGACCACTGTGAGTGGGAAGTAATGAAAGCAATCAAGGTGGTGAAACTCCAAAACATGGTGAGCGCAGAAATGAATACTTGTTGCAACGCACTGGAAAGTTCGTCGTGGGACGTAGCTAAAGCCGCACAATGGATTTTACAGCAAGATGGCGAAGTGACTCAAGTGTAACATATCAAATGTACTAAGTTTAAAACTTTATGGATATTCTATTTATTGTCTTGCCAGGAAATGTTGTAATTTTATTTAAAAAGAATTTAACTTATTTTTATGGATGTCTTTAAATAAATTTTGTTATAAAAATAATTATGTTAAAATTATTTTTTTATTGAAATTGGCACATTGGCTGGTCACACTTTATGGATACGTGACTTCCACAAGTAGCGACACTTTTTAAAAATTATACAATGTTTTACAATAAATTTGTACACAAAACTTTGTTGGTCTTATTTTCCACAACATGAATCAGAATTAAATCACGTGACAATAAAATATATATCTTTATTGTACAATTAGTCAATAGAACACATAAGTTATATAAAAAGTTAATAAAACCATTTAAGTAGAAAGGCGCCAACAAAATACTTTTATAGTGATACGGTGCTTTGGAGCCTAGAAATATATTATTTGTTTTGAAAATTGTCTCAGATTGGTTTAAAGAAAGTTGTACATTTACACGTATTCATTGTTCATTGCAACTATATTTTATACCCTTCAATAAAAGGAATTCCAGTTCCAACTTGTTGCTGATAATCACAGTAATTTTGGCCAAAAAAGCTCAACAGCATACTTTCTTCAATATAAATTCGTTCTTTGAAAAACATCCAACTGGCAATGGTATATGCTGGAATGCAAATTGGGTTTACGAGTATTATTTGGGTCCCAATGGACCAATAAAACCATCCCACGTAGCTGGGGTGACGGAACCAACCATACACACCATGGGTAACCAAAACGTGATCATTGGATTTCTCACACTGCACCTACAACCCACAATTTACTCAACATTAAAAAACGTCAAAAAATTACCAGGTGATTGAAATTGGAACCAGCTGTCAAAATCGCCGTTTTTCTTAACAAGTCACCCAAAATACAAACAAGAAGGCCTATATTGGAGAGCCAGGTCTGCTCCTTAAGGCCTGAAACCCCCAGATCAGTCACAATCAAACCCACTTTAACCCTACCTGGGAAAAAATACGTTTCGATGAAAAACTCCACCCACGACGTCATAGCAGCAACCGTATATTGCGGACTATGATTTATCACAAACGAATCAGTCGAAACTTGCTTCGGCTGCACAATCGCAATGGCCAAAAACTCGCTATAATGAAACACCGCCATAACCGACATGTAGCCCCCGAAAATCTGAACATTCGGGGGCGCGACTAGCTTCACATACACTCCTAAAGACAACACGAGCCCCAGAAAGGCGGCACGAACAGCAATCTAAAAAAAACCTTCAGTTCCAACATTGTCACAAAGTTACAAAACTCACTGCGAAAGCGTACGGACTATACACAAACCGTAGGAAAAAGTAAACATTAACCGAGTAAAGAAAAACAATGAGTGCGTTTGCAACCAGGTTGGTGATTCCATAATAGCAATTAAACATGCAAATCACGAAAAACGCAAAGGCTGATCCGGTGAAGCTCTTGAGCGAAATTCGCCCTTCCTGGCTTAACATTTTCGAGTTTCGGAGTTCAGTGGGCTTGTGTCACAACCAAATTAAACACTTTCCGCATTATTTCGGAAAATTACTGCACGGAGACGATTTTTTCACATTGCCAAATTAGATAACATTTTTATCATCAAAACATTAGGGTGACGTTGTGGCTAACGTCACGCCGCAATTGCGTCTGCACCCAAGAACGCAATAAAGCCACAAAAAAACACAAAAAAGCACAAAATCGACGTACTTTACAACACTTGAAAGTACACAAATACAACTATCGCTAATTGTTGCTGAATTTAAATAATATCGCGCAAACGAGTGGCGAAAGTGGTAACCGTAGACACAGCCACTTGACATTTGACATTTTATTTACAACACGTTTTGAGGTTAACATGGTGTTTCACGCTGTTTAGCGAAAAATGGGTGTTCGAGGCCTCACAACGTTCATAGCGAACCGCTCCAACCAGTATTTGGAGCGCTATGAACTCCACGACTCCTACTTGGTGGTGGACGGAAACAGCATTGCGTGCCAACTCTACAAGTGGCACTGCAGGTGTAACGATTGTTTCGGGGGCGACTACGACAAGTACGCCAGGTCAATCTACTCGTTCTTTCGTCTACTGGCGGACTGCAACGTCACCCCCTTGATAATTTTCGATGGGGCCTACGAGAAGCGTAAAATGAAAACTGTGTACAGCCGAATGAGGAACAAGGTTAGTGCCGCCAAAGACCTCAACAGCGTCACGGAAGGCCGAATCAGCCTATTCCCGTTGTTCCTTCGAGAACTCTTCGTCGATATTGTAATGAAACTGAAACTGCAGTGTGTCCGTTGCGACTTTGAGGGTGACAGCGACGCTGCCTACTTGGCACGGACTTTGCAATGCCCTATTGTGAGCTATGATTCCGATTTCTACATTTTTGACGTTTTGTATATCCCGTTTTCGGAGATGGATTTGAAACTAAGGAAGCGAAAGGGCGTGAACTATATACCATGTGCGGTATATAAAGCAGAGAGGTTTCTAAACTCATTTGGGGGTTTAGATAAAGTGAACTTGCCTCTACTGTCTGCCCTCTTAGGAAACGATTATATTAAAAAGAGAGCCTTCTCTGTTTTTTACAGACAGTTAAAAATGCAAAAAACCAAACAAAATGAGCAGCAAACTTTAATCAAATCTGTAATAGTGTGGCTAAAAAATGAAACGCCAGAGTCCGCTTTGAGAAAAATTTTGGGGCGATACAAACTGAAAAATCGACGGCGGCTAGCTAGGAAAATACGACGGGCGATTGAAGGTTATTCGTGCGGGAATACCCCAGTTTGTTCCTATTTCAACATTGATGAACCCCGTCGAGAACACACGACAATATCAGTTCCTGAACCAGAAGACATTGAAAATATAGAAGACGAAGAACTTGAAGAAAGCGACAATGAGCCTGAAGCAGAAGGGTCAGAAGAAACTACGTCTTCATCATCAGAAGAAGAAGACGAAATTGAAGTACCGCCAAAGTGTGACCCCAAACCCGACAGACCCGATTTTTTCACAGACAATTTCAGAAGGTGTCAATATCCTCCCTGTTTCATGGACATGAAAGTGTCCAACATCTACTTCTGTATCCCCCAAATTGAAGACTTTTCAACCGGAAGTTCACACTTTATGAACCTCAAGATCATCGCTGCCATCCACAAAATTCTAACTTACCCAAATACAAAAAAACTGACGTGCGTATCAACCAATATTCACGGACACGTTAAAAAATTCGGGGTGCCTTTGTATGAAAACGACGTGCCAAAATTAATGGACGTCGAAAACATGGACCCAAAAACAAGCAAAACCTCTCTACTGGACATCATTAACGTAGAACAGGACATATTTAACGGCTTTCCAAATTCTTGGCATCTGTTCTTGATATCAATCAAATACTGGGTTACCAATTCTAAAAATAAAGTAGAACTGCCATGTATTTACTCACTCATATTGTGCGCTATCATATTAAATTACGTCGATAGCAAAGTTGGATTTTACAGATCCACTAGGTCGTTTCTCGCAAAATATAGTACAAATGCAAACGTTGCAAAAACTAAGCCGTCCCTAAATATCACTCAAGCCCTAGACCATATCGATTTCGACAACAGCATCGCGTGTATGAAAAAACTCATCCATTATTTTCAAATGGACGCCAAAATGAAGTCGTACGTGAAGTTGTTTGACAGAAGTATAGTGGACGCGTTTGCGGAGTTTCAGAGTTGTTTGTTACACGTGAAGTACTTGAACTCTTTGTTTGGTTGTCCGTTTCCGACTACTGTGATATCGGATTTTTACGATGGTACTTTTCTTTACAACATGACGACGAATTTACAAAAACGGAGCGATTTGAAATCGTACATGAAACTGTTGTTGGAAAGTTGTCCCCAAATTTTGGGTGTCTTTGAAATGATGGCTGACGAAGTGGAAAGTCGGATTGTGGACGATCTTGGGCAGCACGAGCCTGTGAGGAAGAGGAGGAAGAAGAAGAAAACCGTGGAAAATGTTGTGCAAGAATTGTTACCCTGTGCGAGCGAAGAAGACGAAGAATATATTTATGATTCAAACAACAAATTTTCGTTATTGTCTTTTGTTAATAAATGATATATGTTACTGAGAATAGTGCGTTTACTATGCCATCAACTCCGCAATTTACCTCGAAAATACACGCCGCAGAAACTTCGTTTTGAAATTAATAGCAAGATCACGTGCAACGTAGTTAAATTTAACGTAAACTTTGATGTGCCCGAACGTTTTTATCAAAAGTATTGTAATTAATGAAGAATGATTTCCCATAAAATATAATGACCCAATTTGTTTTAAAAATCGGAATGGGTCTGATACAAATGTGCTTGAAAGTTTTTTCGTTGACGATAACATTGAAATTATGACGTCATGATCCAACCAACATTTCAAAACTTATTTCTCATTTACTTATTTTACACAGTAAGAACTAAAAATGCACAGTTGCAATTTAATATCAGTCATCTTCTAATATTAAACATTTCCAAGAATTGTTTCTAGGTGTCATGGTTTATAGATTGTAAATATGCGCTCCTTTAGTAGCAGTCCAGTGATTCATGGTGTTCAAGGACGCTATGTTACACTAACAAGTTAAAAAAAAAGTGCAGTTTTAGACGTATATTATTATTAGACAAGAATTCTTCGGGAACAGAACATTCTAGAATTATCGAAAAATATATACACGTTCAAATCAATTTAATATTGCCTTTTAAAATATTTCATACACACGTTGTACCCATCCAAGGTCTACTGTGTCCAAGGTAAGTCATTTAAAAATTTATTCAGAAAAATTCTGAAGTGACGTCATAATTTTGGGGGAGAGGAATAAACAAACATATTTTGTTTAAAATTTACCACGACTTTAAAACGTCTGCAAGATTTCCAGGCTTTCGATTCTGCAGATTCAAAATTAAATTGAACAATCGAAAAACTGAAATATTAGAAAAATTAAAAATCAGAAGACTGAAAAATCAAAAACGAGAAATCGGGAATTTGAAACATCTAAAATTAAATTAAAATTGAAAAACAGATGAATTCAAAAATCCCAAAACTGAAAAGTCGAAAAATTGGAAAATCCAAAAATCTAAAAATCGAAAAGCCGAAAAATAAAAAAACCGAGAAAGCCAAACATGAAAAGATCGAGAAATCCAAATAGTCCGAATGGAAAATTAAAAACTGAAACTTTTCAAATAAAAAATCGAAAAATTGAAATTCAGGAAATTGAACAATCGAAAAATCGGAACATCCAAATCTCGATAAATCGAGAAGGCGAAAGACTCAAAAAACGAAACATCAAAAATTTAAAAAATAGAAAAACTGAAAAACTAAAAATGTGAAACAGAGAAGTCGAAAAATCGAAAGATCTAAAATTAAAAATTTGAAAAATTGAAATACCGAAAAATCCAAAAACTGAAAAATTTGAAATCGAAAAATCTAAAATTCCTAAAACCAAAAAATTGAAAATCGAGAAATAGGAAAATCAACAGTCGAAAATTTGAAGATTCAGCAAATTGAAAAACAGAAATGTCAGAGAACTAAAACATCAAGACATCGAAAAATCTAAAATTTAAAAAATCGAGAAATTAAAATATCATGCATCTGAAAAATCAAAAAATCGACCAATGGAAACTTTGAGAAGTCAAAAATTGAAAAGTCGACAAATGGAAACTTAGAGAAGCCAAAAGTTGAAAATATGAAAAATGGAAAAATTTTAAAATCGAAAAATTAAAAATCAGGAAATTCAACAATCGAAAAATCGGAACATCCAAATCTCGATAAATCGAGAAGGCGAAAAATTCAAAAATCGACAAATCGAAACATCAAAAAATGGAACAATTGAAAAATCAAAAATTTTAAGAAAGAAAAACTGAAAAACTAAAAATGTAAAACAGAGAAGTCGAAAAATCGAAAGATCTAAAATTAAAAATTTGAAAAATCGAAAAACGGCAAAATAAGGTAATGGAAAAATGGAAAATTTAAAAAATCGAGAAATTAAAATATCACGCATCTGAAAAATCAAAAAATCGACAAATGGAAACTTAGAGAAGCCAAAAGTTGAAAATGTGAAAAATGGAAAAATTTAAAAATCGAAAAACTGAAAAATAGAGAAATCGAAAAATGTAAAATAAGTAATAAAATAATAAAATTAAAATATCGATAAACTGAAGAATCGAAAAATTGAAATATCAAAAAATCCAAAAATTGAAAAATTTAAAATCGAAAAATCTAAAATTCCAAAAACCATAAAAATGAAAATCGAGAAATGGAAAAATCAAAAAGCGAAAATTTAAAGATTCAGAGAATTGAAAAACAAATATCAGAGAACTGAAACATCGAGAAAAAAAATCTAAAATTTAAAAAATCGAGAAATTAAAATGTTACGCGTCTGAAAAATCAAAATTGAAAAATCGAAAATTTGAAAAATCGACAAATGGAAACTTAGAGAAGCCAAAAATTGAAAATATGAAAAACGGAAAAATTTAAAAATCGAAAAGTTGAAAAATCAGGAAACTGAACAATCGAAAAATCGGCACATCTAAATCTCGATTAATCGAGAAGGCGAAAAGTGGAAAAATCGAGAAATCGAAACATCAAAAAATGGAAAAATTGAAAAAACGAAAAATTAAAAATTTTAAAAATAGAAAAACTAAAAACTGAAAAATGTAAAACCGAAAAGTCGAAAAATCGAAATATCTAAAATTAAAAATTAGAAAAATTGAAAAATAGAGTAATGGAAAAATCTAAAATTTAAAATACCCAAAAATTAAAGTATGGAGAAACTGAAGAATCGAAAGAAGATGAAGATCGCAAAATTGAAAAGTCGAAAATCTGAAATATCAAAAAATCCAAAAATTGAAAAATTTAAATTAGAAAAATCTACAATTCCAAAAAATCGAGAAATTAAAATATCGACCATTTGAAAAATCAAAAAGTTGAAAAATTGAGAACTCGAGGCATCAAAAAGTCGAAAAATCAATTGATCCAACATTTGAAATCGACAAATGGAAACTTAGAAAGAAAGAAAATATGAAAATGGCGAAATTTAAAAATCGAAAAATTGAAGAACCAAAAAATTGAAAAACTGAAAAATCGAGAGATTGAAAAACCGAAAAATTGCAGAATCAGAAAACTGGAAAGCCCAAAACTGAAATATCGGGAAACTGAAAAATGGAAAAGCCAAAATCAAAATCGGGGCATCGAAAAATTGGAAAATCCAAAAACCGAAAAACCGAAGAAGACGAAAATCGAATCATTAAAAAATTGAAACATAGCGAAATCGAAGTACCCCACACGAAAAATAAAAATTTGTAAAATTTAAAACAAAAAAATCGATAAATCCAAAAATTGGAAAACTGAAATAGCAGTGAACAGAAACATCGAGAAATCGAAAAATCTAAAATTTAAAAAATCGGGAAATTAAACTAGGAGCCATTTGAAAAATCAAAATTTTGAAAAATTGAGAAATCGAGGAATCGAAAAGTCGAAAAATCGATTGATCGAGAATTCAAAAAATCGACAAATGGAAACTTAGAAAAGCCAAAAATTGAAAATACGAAAAATTGAAAAATTTAAAAATCGAAGAATCAGGAAACTGAACAATCGAAAAATCGGCACATCTAAATCTCGATAAATCGAAAAGGGGAAAAATTGAAAAATCGAGAAATCGAAACATCAAAAATGGAAAAATTGAAAAAACGAAAAATTAAAAATTTAAAAAATAGAAAAACTAAAAATTGAAAAATGTAAAACTGAAAACTCGAAAAATGGAAATATCTAAAATTAAAAATTTGAAAAATTGAAAATTCGAAAAAGTGAAAAATAGAGTAATGGAAAAATCTAAAATTTAAAATACGAAAAATTAAAGTATGGAGAAACTGAAAAATCGAAAAATTGAAGTCGCAAAATTGAAAAATCCAAAAATCAAAAATTTAAAAATTTAAAATCGAAAAATCTAAAATTCCAAAAAGTAGAGAAATTAAAAAATCGACCATTTGAAAAATCAAAAATTTGAAAAATTGAGAAATCGAGGCATTGAAAATTCGAAAAATCGACAAATGGAAACTTAGAAAGAAAAATTGAAGAACCAGAAAAATCGAAAAACTGAAAAATCGAGAGATTGAGAGATTGAAAAACCGAAAAATTGCAGAATCAGAAAACTGGAAAGCCCAAAACTGATATATCGGGAAACTGAGACCTCGATTGTTGAAAAATCGAAAAAATGAAAAATGGAAAAATCCAAAATCAAAATCGGGACATCGAAAAATTGGAAAATCCAAAAACCGAAAATCCGAAGTCGAAAATCGAATCATTAAAAAATTGAAACATAGAGAAATCGAAGTAGCCCAAACGAAAAATAAAAATCTGAAAAATTTAAAACAAAAAAATCGATAAATCGAAAAATTGGAAAACTGAAATATCAGTGAACTGAAATATCGAAAATTTAAAAAATCGGGAAATTAAACTACGAACCATTTGAAAAATCAAAATAATGAAAAATTGAGAAATCGAGGAATGGAAAAGTCGAAAAATCGATTGATCAAGAATTCGAAAAATTGACAAATGGAAACTTAGAAAAGCCAAAAATTGAAAATATGAAAAATGGAAAAATTTAAAAATCGAAAAATTGAATCGAAAAATCGAGAAATTTAACTGGGGACCATTTGAAAAATTAAAAAATTGAAAAATCAGGGAATCGAAAAGTCGAAAAAGCGATTGATCGAGAATTCGAAAAATCGACAAATGGAAACTTAGAAAAGCCAAAAATTGAAAATATGAAAATCGAAAAATTGCAGAATCAAAAAATTGAAAAATCGAGAAATTGAAAAACCGAAAGATTGAAAAGTCGAAAAATTGCAGAATCAGAAAACTGTAAAGCCGAAACCGAAATATTGAGAAACTGAGAACTCGATTATTGAAAAATCGAGAAGCTGAAAAATGGAAATGCCAAAATCCAATCGGGACATCAAAAAATTGGAAAATAGTGAAAATACAAAAATCGAAAACCCAAAACAAGAAGTCGAAAAATCGAATCATTGAAAAATTCAAACATCTAAAAATCGAAGTAACCCAAGCGAAAAATAAAAATTTGTAAAATTTAAAATATAAAAAATCGAAAAATTGCAAAACTAAAGAAATTATACAATTTTGATTTTTTTTCCAAAAATTTGGATATCTCTGGTAAAAACTCAACACGGATTCATAAACTACACGTGTAGGACCACGTTATTTTAAACAATTTACAATCCATTTATTATATACAATTTTAAGTCTACGTGATTACATTTTTGGTGACGGTGAGTTTAGTTAGCGTTTTACCATCTACATGATATTCATGGCAAAGGGCAGACCTATTTTTTCGTACTCTTAAGGCCATGACACATCGAGAAAACGTTAAAATAGCCAGTCGCCTGATGGACTCGATTACAAATATTACAACACTTCCTTAGCTTATGCTCGTGAAGTAAAAATGGAATCAAATGTTACAAATTGACAAATATTTGAACACGGCAAATTTAAACATGCAAAGAAAAAAAGAAATTGTCATTAAAGTATATCCAAGTTATTACGATGGCGTGGCGGCAAATTTAAATATGAACATTCGAGCAAATAAAAAAAAACAAATTTGAGTGAAAAAGTACGTAGCATGGTGACGACAGCAGCGCGAAGGGCGTCTCCTCGTGAAGGCCTATTTGCTCTAACCACACTAACGTTCCATGTTTCTGTTCCGCTGTAATATTTCAATGATTTGAAAAACATAATTTTGGAAACTGATACTGCTAATTGACGCAAGTAGTAAAGTAGAGTAATTAGGGCCTTTTTTATTGCTTTTTAATCACCCCCTTAATTACTAGCACTTTCACTTCTAGTAATTAGGACCCTATTAATTATCTTTTAATGACTGTCTTAATTACTAGCCCTTTCATTTCAATTATTCATTTTATAATTAATTAAATCCGCTGTCAAATTAATAAAGCGGTAGTAATTAAGGTGTTAATTAAAAATTGGATAATTGAAATGAAAGTGCTAGTAATTAAAGTAAGTAAGTAATTAATGGGGTAATTAAAAAGCAATTAAAAAGGACCTAATTACTCTACTTTAATACTGACGCACAAAAATCTGTAAAATATATCAATACATATACCACAGAATTGTGCTGATGTGAAAGTAGTTTTATTTTATTATTATTATTATTTTTTAATAATGGAGTGGAATATTTTCTCTTTTTTTATGATAAAAAAAGTCATCTAGTCACCCATGAAACTATTTAAAAAATCTTACAGATACTCGTTTTTAAGACTATTGGAAATTGCTCGCGAAATTTGTCTATGCATCGTATTAGAGAGACCATTCACCGTTTGCTTGCTTGACTCCATTTTGGTAAAACTTTGGATTATAAAAATTGTATGTTTTTTCAAGCATTTTTTAGTACACTGACATTACTGACAATTCTAATAACGAACATACGAGTAAATTCAATAGAAAACAACATTAGTGCCACCAGTTTAAAAAGAAATAATTCCATGGCTGACTAGACATTTTTTTCATCATATGCCATACTTTGGTGTTTTTTTTTTTTCAAAAATTAAAAAGAAATCGGTATAATTCTTGCGCATTCATCACATTAATTAGATTATTTATAGATATTAAATGTGGAATGCTAGAATGTATAAAATTATTACGAACATAATAAAGTGAAAGTTCTTGTTTATACCCACACTTTCAAGTTTCATAAAATTCATCGCCTCGTACCATCAACTTTAAATTAATGACATCACAATAGGCAAACAATCCGAACGAGCAGTTTTGCAAAAATCCATTTTACTTTCTTTTAAATCAAGTTTTCATAATTTTCATTTCGAATGTGTATTATTTCTAGATCTAGTTACATTTTTTTTTATGTACAATAAAAAATATCGCTGACGTTATAAATGACGTCCATCAACGAAAAACTCAACGTACCTATATCACGTGCCAAAATTAAATCAATTCTTGAATTTACTATTGACTTCGTTATTATATACGTTAAACCCAAAGTGTTGCAGCTACTGTAGAAGGGAGGTAGATAAGATATGCGTAATACCTGCGATCTTATCCACACATTTCCTATATTTTATCTCGCTGTGACAATGAAACATTATCATATGGTAGATAAGCAAAACTTGAACAAACTTTAGAACGTAAGTGAATATCTCTAGCGAATAAGTGTAATAAATTCATTAATTTACAAAACGTGCCGCTTACAAACACCCACTTAACTTAACCGCCCCCAAAACCGCAAATCGGAAACTCCAACAAGCGCGATTAGCTCAAGTTGATAACGCAAGACTGCGAACGACAGTCGGTGTCGTTAGTCAAGGCGGCGTTGCAACCAAGCTTGGACTTGGCGCCAAAATCAACCGACATTTCTTTTTTCGTACCATCTCTCTTCAACACCCACCCATCATTCCTACATTGCGCAAGGCTGTTGGGCGGTTACGCCTCCAAACCAAAGCAGAGGCGAACGCGGTGATGTGATACTAGTCCATTGATGTAGTGTTTTGATAGTGAAAAAAGTCAAAACAGACTAATTTAATTTTATTCAAGGTTCTACTCTCCAGTTTTTGGTAAGTAATACGCTGTTACTTGTGTCTACGAAAAAACAGAGTTTTTACCTGGGTGCGTTAGCCTTTAATACCAGTGTGACTGGTCATGTGGGAAAATCGATGTTTCTGGTGGGTTTTATTAAATTAACATAGCATAATTCTCACGAATTGCGTGAATACGCACTTCTGGTGAATCTCAGATTGAGTTATATTAAGCAAAGTCGATATTTGTAAACAGATTTGACCCTAATTTGTGGGATTAATTTTAGACGGTCTAGCTTTGGATATTACTGCATGAATGACATCATCACAGAATTTATTAGTCAACAATAATTTTAAACACATGTAATCTGTGATTTTCAGGTAGTTAGCGATGGCCGATCCAGGTTTTCCGGGACAGCACACCACAACCACAACTGTTACCTCAAACACAACTGTCCAGACCAATGTCAGATATGACCCCATTTACATAAGGACCTTGCCTGGAATTCTCAAAGCTGCCCAGATCGTGAGTGTCAAGTTTCACTGGAATTAATTTAGACTTTGAAAATCGTTGCGATTATCTAAATTTCAATGCAGAACAGGAATTTTAAATATTTGCTACAGTCAACTGTATTTTAGAATTATCAGGTACCACAGTGAAATTTTTGTTAAGAGTTGTTATAAATCAACCAGGATACATGTTTCTGCAAATATTGCTAAACCAGATTTAGATTATGAACTATTTTATGAGCGCAATAAAAATTTTGTTATTGTTAATTTTATGTTTTTTGTATTTACGTTTCTTTCTTTTGATCGCAATTTGAAACATTTTCATTATTTCAAATGTATAGGTAATTGTTGTTGATTAGTTGAGGCTTGAGTACAATGAGACCATAAAGTGGCTATAAAGACGATAAAAGTATCCGTAAATTCAAAATATTTTTTAATAAGTCAACAGAGTTAACTCTGATCCACAATATTTCTATCTACAAAAATTAATCAAATTGTACACAAATTATAATTGCGAATGACACATCTGTTCTATATATACGCCGATTACGAGTGTAAACGTTGTGAATGGGTCTACAATAAACACAAAGATATCACATACGGAAATGCAAATTCATATTTTTATTTTAAATAGTAACTAGAGTAAAAATTTAAAAATCACCTGCTACACTAATTTAAGAACACTTCGAGATTTTATTAATTTTTAGTGGGGAAACATTTGATTCAGAGTTAAGACTTTGTATATACATAATTAATTATCGTATGCTTTGAGCTAGCGAAGGCTAAGTTACGAAAAATAAACCACATGTAACAAACGACACTGTTTCTAACCGCAACTGCAACATTCCTTAAGAAAATATACATCAATTTACTAAAACTGCTACAACTGTTACTTTATTTATCTGTGTCCCTAGGTAGTGTGTCGCAATTTTATGTTGTCATCGCATTCTTTCACGAATAAAATTATTCATCTTCTGACTAATAAACGATTACAAATTTAATATGTTTCAGATTCTAAATCTTCTGGGCTTCATATGCATAGAAGTAAGTGCCTTCTCCTACCATTCCCGAGGTAGCTACTTCATTTTCTGTTCGATGACTGGCTTCTGGTTCACGGGCATTCTCCTCCTGTTCTACCTATTCCACATCATAGAAAAATTCTACCGAATTCCGTGGCTAAAAATCGAGTTTGGGTTTTGTGCCGTGTGGACAGTACTCTACTTGATCGCATCGTGCCTTGCAGCTACTTTGGGAGTGGAAGCGTTCGCAGTTGCTGCAGTGAGTGAAATGTTTGACTTCCATTCCAATGATCACCCTCATGATCGCTCATTCTTACTTACAGTTTTTTGGGTTCTGCGCAATGATCGTGTACGCAGCGGACGCTTACTTCAAACTCAGGGCGGTACAAAGTGGTCAACTCGCACAGGGTGAAAGAGTTATAAACAAACAGACTGCGACGGCGACATCTCCAACAACTCCTCACTATTAATGTTGTGTTCAAGAAGTTTATCCGTCTTTTTTGTCTACTTAATAGTCGAGAACCCAGTTTCAGTATGTACAAGTCATTTAGCTTATAATTAATTCATGATCATGTGTTGGACATTGTAATTGTAACTACTTAGTAATGGTTTACAAGCTCATCGCCATATTTTGGAAAAAAGTAAATTAATTTGTTAGTTATTTATCACATATCTATTTATATCAGAGCAAAGCATATTGTAAATATTTTTGTTATGAAAGCACTTATTCCTGTTGGATAAAAGTAATACAAATAGTTATTTATGTAAAGTGTTATTAACACTTTTATATTGTATTTTTATTGTTGCAACGAAGAACTAAATATATGAATGTAAGTTTACAAACGTGGTTTTACGGTGTTAGTAGACGACCATGAATACGTATGTTTCTCAAAGTTATGGCTTTCTTACCTTTAATGAAGTACCTACAGGATAAAGTGGACAAGCACACACTTCGCTGCGTCGACAGTAAAACTAAAACTTAACCTCACTTTTCATTTCAAGTTTTTACAGGTAGCAACTTGTCTTCATGTTTGTTTTTCCTTAGTTACGTCATCGCCATTTTTAATCTACTTAAATATTATTTGTGCAAAAACAATGATAATAAGTAAATATTATCAATTCCGGAGAGATACCCTCTGGCCTCTATCGTGTCTGTTTACAGGTCGATCACTAAAACGAAGTTTAATTGACAGTTACTAACAAAAACGAATCAAGACACCGAGGTAGAAGAAAAATTTTGATATTAAAATAAACTCAATTAATGTCAAATATTTATTACGTATTTCCTCTTATTAAAAACAAAGTACAATGCCCAAAACCGCAGCTCCTCTATATACAGTTTCCGACAAAAAATTTCAAACATCACTTTTCTGTCATGTCAAAAATTTTAAAGTAGTCTATGCTTTATTGTCATTATTTCGGACAGCTGGAATGTCAAACTTTCACAACTTTCAAAATACCGTGGTGGGAGTATACTCACACCACGAAAAATACCTAAACATCTAAAGGTTGCTTTACACTATCTGACGACTGAATGACATTGACGTCTGAAATTTTTTGGCGGCAACTGTAGCACTTCAAAGAAAGTGTTGCTGAAGAAACAATAAATGGGTAAGTGCACCAAAAATCGAGTATTAAAAAATCGGGTTCTCGTAGATCAATGAAAAGCAAAGGGAATAAGTTTTTCATGTCACTGTCATTTGTCCATTTTCTTTTTTTTGAATAAGTTCGTACCATCCGCCAGTAATATAAAAATCTACATAGTTTAGTAACATTTTTGAAGGTCTTCTGATTCAAAAGTGTTTATTTCCGACCGCCTATCAGTATTCCAAAATCGCCCACAAAATAAATTACACGTAAAACACCATATAATAGAATTAAAATCGTCTAGCAACCTATGAAACGCGTTTCAGTTCAGTTTGACAGTTACGGTTAAATACGTTTCAAATATCTGTAATGCCAACATTATTTTGAAAATTAATTTTATAGCCTATTAAACGACTTTTTTGTGATTATTTGGACCAACGCGGGATCGCACAAAAACGTATGTCGGTACTTTTTAAACTCTTCACCAGTGGCGGTTCCTCAGAGGAGGCAGGGGAGGCTGAGCCTCCTTGGTTTTTTGGAGCTGAGCTTCCTCTAATTTTTTCGATGAAAGAATTTGTAGACATTTGTTACTTTTCAGAATATTTTGTTTGATTTAATTTACTTTCATCATATATCAGGTTTAAATGTCGAAAAAAATTATATTTGCGCCCTTACAATCATAATTCACACCACTCCGCGTTTGGCTTCAGCGGTAAAGGCTAGCTTCCGCCGAGAATGCATTTTACTATTGAGACCGTAACCTTGATGCACCGTCATTCTGTACTGCATTGGCTAAAACGTTGATCGAGCTGCCGCTTCAGGTCGCTAGCCTCCGGCTAGTTCATCTCTTTTCAGATCAAGTCGTACGGATAATTTTATCTCTTTCTTATTAATTGGCGCGATCGGGTGTAAACAGGAAAAACATTGAGGTGGTTTCGTGTGCTCCCTGTTCAGTGGTGAGTGGCGAAAAATGAATTTAGTAGCTTTGATTGTGATAAAAAGATAGCTATAAAACAAAAGGAGAGACCAACATCACCACTTCTATTAATGGTAATGACTCATACGCTAGATCCAGTGCTGTCACGTCGATAGTTTGATTACAAATATATTTTTCTTTTGGACTATATCAACATAATATAACATTTCAAGATCACGAATATGTGGTCCTGTGGTTGAAAAATTAAAAAGGGCATCGAGTATTATTATTTGAAGTAATATAGTAATATAGAAGTAGTTTATTTACTAGCTGTAAACACTCCTACCGACGCACTGGCTACGACCTTGTGGACCAGATCAAAGCGTCCCCGCTACTCGCCGTAAACCACACCTTACTTCAACTGGGGGATTGCAGTGGTGATATAGAACTCCGTGTACTGGTAATGACAGAGCATTTCATGAAAATAATTATAATAAAACTAAATGGATAACGGCTGCGGTTTTAAGAAGCAAATTATACTGTTGGAATTGTGTATTATTCACAAGTGATAAATCTTCCATCTGGGATAAACCAGGCTATAATAATTTATAAAATTTGTCACGATCTATAGAAAGGCGTAAAAAATCACAGAAACACATATTTTCTTCTACTTTAGATTCCGCTCATAAGAGGGATATTGAGAACTATAACGAAAAAGTTAGTGAAAATAGGACAATTTTGAAAAGACTAATCGATGCAATAGTTTATCTATCAACGCAAGAGTGTTCTTTTCGTGGGCATGACAAAAAAAAATGATTCAGATAATGAAAGATATAAAAAGTAGTGCTTTTCAAACTTGAGCCTCCTCTGAAGAAAACTTCACGAGCCGCCACTGCTCTTCACCTATTTCTCTCTGTCTATCAAAATTTTTAATTTAAACGTCAAGATTTTGACAACGCAAAAGACTTTTATACAAATATATCGATCAAGTTAGACTCAAAATTTTGTTTCTAGAATCTTCCGTAAACACAAATTAAGTGGCTCACCAGTACAATCCAAGTTTTCAGAAAAAGGAAGTTGTGGTCAGCGCACGTCGGACATACTATAGTCTTTGCCATTTCTATTGAAACACCACTTGTTGATCGTAAATTTGGCAACGTTGATATTCAGACAATTTTCTAATTAAAAACCGAAAACTGTTACCAATTGCTAAATTTTAAGCAAAATCAACAGGTGGTGTTTCAATAGAAATGGCAAAGACTATAGATAGAAAGCTTTTGTTTATTGGAAAGCAATAAATTAAGCCTAGGTATATTAATCATACTGTTAAGACCTTTGTAATGCGCAAGCGCGACGGTGGTGAAAACCACCCCCCACAACTATTTTTGAATTTTATTCTGATACTTGTAACAGAACCGTAACGAAAACAGTCGGTATCGGTAGTGCCTCGTTAGTACAAAATAAATACATTTTTTATCAAACAGTGTTTGTGTTTGATATGGTCCTTCAAAGTCATTACCAGTATATTCTTGAACTTTCGAACACATACCCTAAAACCTTTTGATTATACGGTATATACTTAGAATCTGTAAAAATGTTTTTATTACGACGAGATTTCGTCCCATGGGGTGTTCTTTGCACAAAAAAAGTTTAAACTGTAGGTATATAAAAAAAACTCAAATAATATATGTGGTGAAAAAGTCATTCAGTGGGTCTTAATTATTAGTAAACATTGCCAAATATGTTTAAATACAATAAACCTAAAATTTAATCGATGGCAGCTAACAAGGCGAAAATGTCAGTTATTCACAACGGTGTGGATTAATAAACGTATGCGTTTTTCGCTACGTTTTCAAAAAAGCAACGCCAACTTGATAACTTTTTTCAACTGAACACTCGTTATGAGTGCAACAAGGTTTTTTTTATCGTTTATATATACAGGTGTCCCAGAATTCGCGCCATTCCCGTGAATGACATGTTCCCTGTCCCGAACTGTGCCGTAATTCCCAAAAAGAATTGTCCAGGCTTTAACCGTGTGAGAACTGAAAGGCGATTAAGTTAACCAATAGAGAGACTGCTTTTATATCCGAACGTTTCTATGTTCAAAGTTACCTATACCAAGAACAAAAAATCGGGTAATACTAAACTGTACATAAACTGTAACTAAGTTCATCATTAAAAGTTTGTCAAAAATTTTAATTTTCAAAATTTTGAAATTTAAATTATTATTTTTTTTAATTAAAGTAAATAACTGAACAATATTAAGGGTAATCACTGGAATGAAGAGGGGGTGGGTGGGCGGGGCTATTGCTTGCTTATAAAAGACTGTTAGAAAAAGTTAAACTTAGCCCCGCCCACCCACCCGTTCTCTCATTTGTTTCTTCTGAAATACGAAATAAATCTTATACCAAATAGTATAACAAAAAATTACGATTAGCCTTTTCCAAGCACCTTCGAAAATTACTCAAAGCCTTTTTTCGTTGATCTCAATTTGCATTTTTGGCAACGTTTGTTGAAAAACTTCAACCACATTTCCAGAATCATCAAAATGAAATACGGAAAATTTTCGAATTTTAAACTTTTATTTTGAAACTGAAAATTTCAAAAATCTTGGTCTAGGACTAACAGCAAGTTATATTTTTCAAATCTGCTCATCGATATCTACTTATATACCAGAACTTTTTCTGGTTTTCTACGAAACTTTGCCAAAAGCTCAAATTTTCAAATTTTTAACTTTTGCTACGCCTAAAACCATTTTTTCGTTGATTCCGATTTGCAGATTTCCAAAATTCCGCCAACGTTTGTTCGAAAACTACACCAAAATGAAATATGGCCATTTTGGGATATTTGAAAATCTTAATTTTGAAACCGAAAATTTTAAAAATCTTGATTTGGGACCAGCAATATATTTTTGAATCAACTCTTCAATACAACCGATATCCGATAATTTTTTGTAGATTTTTAGCAAAATCTGACAACAGTTTGAATTTTCAAAATTTTGAAATTTAAATTAAATTAGTTTTTTGAATTGAAGTAAATGACTGAACAATTTTAAGAGCAATCACTGAATGAAGAGGGGGTGGGTGGAAGGGGTTATTATTTGCTTATAAAAGAATGTTAGAAAAATTTAAACTTAGCCCCGCCCACCCACCCGTTCTGCCATTTTTTTTTTTCTTCTGAAATAAGAAATATCGCAAATAGTAAATAATATAAAAAATTGCGTTTACCCCTTTCTTTACAATCGACATTTTATTAATTCCCATTTTCACTCTACAAAAGAACGTACTAACCCCGCCCATCCACACCGCCTTTATTTCAGTGATTCATTTTATTTAGTCCGAATGAAAGGTTGATCTCATACTGATCAGAAATAAAATCGTTATAGAATAACAGCGCGGGTGAGCGGGGCTAGTACCTGCTACGATAACACTGATTTTGGCCAATGACATACCTTCCAAGAAAATTGAGGGTGGGTGGGCGGGGCTAGTATTTGCCATGATAAGACTGATTTTGCAGATAACATACCCTCTAAGAAAACAGAGGGCAGATGGGCGGGACTAGTATTTCTTATGTTAAGACTGATTTTAGTAAATGACTGAATAATATTAAGAGTAATCACTGGAATGAAGAGGGGGTGGGTCGGCGGGGCTATTGCTTGCTTATGAAAGACTCTGTAAGCAAAGTTAAAGTTATATATTTCCTTTTTTTATTATTCTTAGTTATCTCTTCATAACAAGAACTTAAAATAAATAAAGATTTTAAGCTCCACCCCCTTGTGATGAATAAAAAAAATCATCACAATTGAGACAGGGCGGGTGGGCGGGGCATACATTTTGCCTTTTTTTTAATATAATTAGATGAAATTAAAACATGTTTAAAATAGTAAATTTTTGCAGGGAAATACGAATTAAAAATTCATCAGGATTAAGTTCGACATGGAAGGATGGGGCTTAATCTTTGGCTTTATTTTTTACTCAATATACAAAGTATTTTTTGAATAACATGATAATTAAAAACATGTTTTTACATGATAATTTCATGTAGAGAAATAAGGATTTTAAGCTCCACCCCCTTGACTCACGATGAATAAAAAAAATTATCACAATTGAGATAGGGCGGGTGGGCGGGGCATATATTTTGCCTTATTTTAAATATAGTTAGTTATCTTTTCATAACAAGAATTTAAAATATGTTTAAAATAGTAGTTTTTGTAGGGAAATATGGATTTTGCAATTACAGTCCGCCCCTCGGTCTGGCAACGAATTAAAAATTCATCACGATTAAGTTCAACATGGCAGGGTGGGGCTTAGTCTTTGGCTTTATTTTTTACTTAATATACATAGTATTCTTGAACAACACGATAATTAAAAACATATTTTTACATGTTAAGTCCTTGTAAAAAAATAAGGATTTTCAGCTCCACCCTCTTGGCTCAGGATGAATAAAAAAAATCATGGGCGGGGCTACATTTTTTTTTTTTTTTAATACCGGGTGTTTGGACAATGGCAGATTAACTCTCAGCTACGCTCTTAACAATCAACTGGCGAGTGTCAAAAATTGGAAAAAAATCCTTCTCGCATGATTTTAATATTTGACATAATTATTTTAAAATTGTGTCTTTTGCTACGTTTAATAATAACTAAACAAGACAGTCATTAGCACAATAACTAGTAATAAAACTTTTAGTTAATATTTCTCTACCCCATAACCATGCTTAATTACCATTTCAGTTACAATGCACCAAAATATGGTTATGTTGTTTTTGTAGTAATTTGATAAAATTCCATTTGACAACAATGTTTGCCTGATACATATAAAGCCAAGGTACAAATCAGAAAAAATCCAGTAAGCATTTAAAAATGTTTGACATATCAAAAATTGTCAAAGTATTAAAACCCTACATTTAAAAGGTGCGCAGTTAATTTTAGGTACCTTGGTGTTTTATTTTCGGATAAATTAAAAGGAATTATATCATTCGCTAAAATTGGTCTTTTTTAAAGACGATTGGAGTTTGAGCAGAAAATTACTGTTAAGCTTATCTTTCACATCGTTAATAAAAAGGGAAAATGATATAGGACCAATGTTTGACCCTTGATCCACTTCTGATAACACATTTATACATATATTGAATTTTATTCCTCCATTCACCAGAACAAACTCAACCCAACCTTAGATTCTATCTCTTGTCAAAACAGAATTCAATTCTCATTTTACAGGAAACAAAATAAGTCAGTAAAATGGAGAAAGGTGAGTGGGGCGGAGTTCAGCTTTTTTCTAGTCTTATGAACAAGCAGTAGCCCCGCCCACCCACCCTATCTTCATTCTAATGAATACTCTTAATATTGTTTAGTCTTATTTTTGGAAGCACTAGCCCCGCCCACCCGCCCTCTATTTTTTCAGAAGGTATCATTTGCCGAAATCAGTCACATCCTACTAGGTACTAGCCCCGCCCACCCACCCTCTCTTTTCTAGAGGATATGTCATTTTTTTTCTTACTTTCTTAATTCAGAGTTGTCAACCCAAAAATTTGCTTCAATTATTAATAGATACCCGGTATTTTTGGTGCTGTTAGAACTCTGCAGCAGCAGAGAAATAACAACGCAACTGGAATAAACTAAGGAATTACTAGATATGGTTATTTCAAATAGAAAAAGATTTATAGTTCAGATCTTTATTTAATAAAATATGCTTCAACCGCCCCAAGTAAGTCTAGTCACATGGTCAGTCTTCCTTTTTGAACTTTTAATAAAACCTAGATATTCTAGCTCTGCTACCGCTTGCGTAAATCGGGCTCTAATTTTGTGTTAAGGTTTATATACAACTTTTTAAGTATAGGCCATCCACTAAAACAGTGGTTTTATGACTGGCTTTTCCAAACCCCTCGAGTATTTGAACTACGAGGTAAGCGCCAAATATTCTCGGCCTGATATATTTGCGATTGCTCGTCGGGAAATTTGTACAACTCATAAAAGACTAGAGGGTCCCCGCAGTATGTGTGTAAAATTTCAAGCCCCACTGCCCATTAGTTTTGATACATTTGAGGAGTAATATTTGAAAAATTATGGACTCATCATGCCTGTTAAAAATTGAAAATCGAACGGCAATCAAATTCTTATCAAAAGATGGAATTGCTCTAAAGGGTATTAAGGACAGGATGGTTTTTGTGTTTGCTGAAGCTTGTCCTTCACATTTTACTAAAAAAAATGATCACAGTTATTTCGCATGGGGTAAGAAACCCTTGAAGACGAACCAATCTTCCAAAAAAATCATGGCCACAATTTTTTGGGACTGTAAAGGAATGTTGTTGATTAATTTTAAAGGATGAAATACCACTGTCAACGCTACATATTATGCTTACTTACTGCATAAATTAGGAGAACGTATTTGGGAAAAAAGGCCGAGAAAATTAACAAGAGGCGTTCGATTGCTTCATGAAAATGCGCCCGTTCATACCGCATGTCTTTCTCAAGCTGCTATAGGGGCCTGTGACTTCGAGTAACTTGATCACCCACCCTACAGTACTGACTTAGCTTCGAACGATTATTAACTGTTCTCTAAGTTAAAAAACGACTTGCAAGGAAAACGTTTTGGACGGATAAAGAGGTGCAAACGGCAGTACTACATCATTTTAGTGATAAAGATTCAAATAATTTTTTTAAACGCATAGAGCTGTTAGTTGGACGTAGTTTTGAATGTATTGAAGTTAACAGAGATTATGTTGAAATATAAATATTTAATTTTTTTCCATCAGGTCTCTTTCTTTGTTAGGCCGAGAATATTTGGCGCTTACCTCGTACATCTAAACAGATAAGCCAGTTCTATTTAGAAGCTTTGGAGGAGTGACATAAATTTGCATTTAATAAGCTGCATTATTCGTTACGGAGGAGTCAAACTCGTAAGACCACTATTTTCGTAGATGGCGTATACATACAAGATAACTGAAATTTTACGAAAAATAAAACTACACCACATAGAAAAATTGTAATCTTTCGTATTTGTAGTGCCAAAAAATTGGACCAAAGTTATTAAATAGAACTTCCCTCATACCAGAAACACAATGAATCAATTAAAGTTACTTAGATAAATTATAAACGAAGTGTTTTTTTTTTTTGTAATAACGCCTATGTATTAAAATAAAAAATATGGGTGGATTTTATTTTAACAATTTAAACAAAAGTTCCCAAACATTGAATGTGACGTCATCAAAATTTTGGTAGGGATGAGCAGAGAAATTTTGATCAATTTAAATAAATCAATTTTAAATTAACTATTTATCAAGCTGGTGATAATTTTGCTTAAGCAGTTTTTAACTAACTTGTGTTTGTTGTACATTTAGAAGTATAGAAGGATATTATTTTGTAACACAAATTTAAATAAAAGGATACTGTAATTCCGGATCTACTGTCGGCTTGGAATCATCATCAAGCTCCTGTGGATCCACAATACTTAGGAATGACTGTAACCAATCATACAAATTGATCATTTTTCCACATTCAAGGTGTAGTTTGTACACTATACATATATCTGGCATGGAAGGTAATATCACTGAGTCATTGGGTATACTGCAGCAAGGACACTGAAAAGAACATAGAACATTATCTACATACAAAAACAAAATACAATTAAACTGAAAAATATGGTACCTGCAGATAAAAATGTGGATCATTTAAAGCTGTGTGGATCGCTGTTCTGTGAGTTCCTATAATATGACTCTGAATTGACATATCATTAAAAAAGAAAATTTCATGAAAATAGAAATTGCTCGGTGGTACTAAATACACCTCAAACTGGCTTGACAGAAAATTTAGTAAATTATGACGAATTTTTTCATATTTATTCAGTGGTTTATTTTGTGACATTTGTTTTAATTTCTAAAACGAATAACAATGATTTGGTATTACAAAATTCACACGAAAGTTACCTCCTTAAGATCTAATCTATTCATTAACTCAAGCAAAGAGTCTTTCTGCGTCACTTCTTCCTTCTTATCTTCCACCAGTTCCAAATTATCTAGCTGCGTCATAAACTTATCAAATTCATTGACTAAAATACCCTCTACTTCATAATCCAAATGAGATTGTTCAAAATTATTCACAATGAGCTCCTTAACCCTTACAATCTTCTTAGTTAACTCCTCCTTTGATTGAAATGATAATAACTGGAAACATTCTTTATATTCCTGAGTCGTGGTGATGTTTTTTGACACTGCGACAGCATACAGTTCGCGCACCTTCAAAAACAACATAAGAATCCTAGTATATATTTTCTCAAAATAAAACCTGTTTTCCTAATGGTGCTTTTGGTAAGTCGTGCACTAACACGTGTAGACACCTTAAAAACAAATGCAAATTCGGCAAATACGACATAATTTTTTTAATTTCTCTCCTTAGAACATTTTTAAAATACGTATCATCAGTTAAAAGGCGAATTCTATTCTCTGGTTCTTCGCTTTCGACTAGTTTTCTGAAAGACATGATTTGACGCACATTTTCGAGATCGTCGTGAGTAAAGTCTTCAATAATTTGTTTAACGTGTTTTTTCTGGCATAGCGCCATTGCGTTACCGTAACTAAAGTGTTCGAGCATCGCGTACTAAAAAAACAAAAAATAATCACAAGAATGTAACAAACCAATTTTATTACCTTAAAATTCTGGATAAAACCGCTGACAGACAAATCATAAAACAAAAATATATCACGAAAGAGATTAAATACTTTTCCACCTAAATGAAACGGGCAGTCTCTTGAAAATAGAATATTTTCGAGAACGTTATTCAAGTACACTGTGGAAGGAAAGGAATGGAAGACTTGGATATTAATTTTTGAGGAAACGTGATAGGGTAAGGAACGATGAACAACCGAAAGCGACGTCGCTACGCCGAACACAAACACGAATGGTAAAATATTAATGTACGAACTAGCGATTAAAATAAAATCCTGAAGCACTTTAGGGGAAAAGTTCTCAAAGTGTGGAATTATCACAACGATTATTTTCTTGCTGGGTGAAAGTTTCTGTGATTTATTTAAGTACAGTTCTTCATACCAATACTGTAGTAAAGAAAAGTTGCACTGAGACTTTTTAATTCGTGGAGTGTCTGAGTCAGATTCGTCCTTTAAACGTTCAATTATTGCACAAATATAAACATACAAACACACAGATTACCTCTTCATCCATCACATCTTCATTTTTAACTAGTTGGTGGATCATAGTTTCCACTAGATATTTTAAATTGTGGCAATCTTCTCCACTCAATGTACACAAATGTGGTGTTATGGTTCTCTTTATTTCTTGCTTTAAGGTTTTAAACTGAGCTGAATGATCCGGCATGTTGATGCCAGTGAGCAAAGCAACAGCAGGAATTTCTGATACCGGGTTTGCATAACTATTTTTAATACAATCAACTAAGTTACTCAGGACACTTGAAAACATATCGTTATTTAATTCCTAAAATGACAAGTATGAGTTATTTGAGGTTACAACACAAACACAGTTACTTGAATTTTTGTTTCAACGGAGTTCCATAATGTTTTATACGTTTTGTACCATAAACTATCACAGAAGAGGCTTTCGGTCGCTTTTTTCTTTTTTCGTGCGGATTTTGAGGCTGCTTTTGCCCCATTTTTAAAAACGAATACACCCTAAAAGGCGTGCACATAATTTTACAAGCTGAACTTTAATTTGTGAGTTTATATTGCAAAATAGTGTAAATATAAACGTAAATTGAAAAAATCGCACTTAGACGTGTGAGGTTATGTTTAGAACTTACTTTAGAAACAGACACTGTCGAAGACATTTTACACAGCAACTTGTACACTTAAGTATGCACTGGCCCCTATTTATAATATTAAAACATGCAAAATTGTAAATTACGCCATAAATCGTGTTAAAACTGCACTAATTGATATATCTTTGGCGGGACAATAACACATGACAACAAAATTTAAATCATCAGTACTACCACCCGTTGATCGAAATGTTACTGACTGTGACAGAATTATCAACGTTTAGAGAAAAATCAATTTTTAAAATAGAACGTATGAAAATCTAAATTTTAAACTGTCCTGTTGGCTAAGCTTTAGTTTTTATTATGAATATTTTTACCTCAGTCGGTATATTATTAAAACTAATAGTGCGTATATTTGGTTGCATATATTATCAAACAGACCTACAGTCGAACTGTGGTTGTGGTTGAAATTTGTTACAGGTCCACGATTGTTCAAATTCAGATTCCACTAACAGTGTAAAATAAATAAATATACTGGGTGTCGCAAATAGTGCCCTTGACACTGTTCAAAAATAAGTTAAAATATTTACACAGACTTCCCTGACCGCTGACAACAAACGAAAAGTTGCTAACTTTTATATATTCGTTTCATCCAGTATTTTTTTGACAATCTGTATAAGTAATTTTCAAAAATAAAAAACATATTGCTAAAGTGGAACAATGTTATATCTCAAAGTAATCTGTCTATAAACATTTATTTAATCATTTTTGAAATGATCTCATCAACTTCTTGATAGATTTTTTTATTTTGGCACGTTCAAGGTAACTGTAGATAGCGTTTCGAAGAATTTAAAGGAAATTAAAAAAGCCGTTTATGAGATAATCGATAAAATAAAACGGTCGATACATTCACTATTTGAAGACGTTGTGTACGGTAAGTAAATTGAAAATCACGCTAAGTATTATTATTCCAGGGGACATATTTAATAATTTTATGTAGTACTTTTAGAAATGTCGTTTTAAATTGTCTAGAAAAGATCATTAAAAACATTTTTAATTTTAAGTTTTACAGGCACAGGATAGTGTTTTACCATCTTCACGACAGTGACAAGAAACAGTTAAAATTTAAGTTAAGTAACTACGTTTTCGTATTCTCTAGGCTGTGAAATATCAAAATGTCAAAGGAAAAAAATTATTAGTTTGTCTGTATTATAGCGACTTTCTTTTGTTTTAGTGAACATTATGTTTTTGTAACAGGTAATAATGTCATTTCTGTTTTCTCTAGGAATCTAATTATAATTTCTCTACCACTTACTATCGCAATTTTGACAGCTGTCTTCAAATGGTTTATTAAAAAAATATTGATGCTGTATTTCACTCTTTTTAGATAAACTGTAACCAAAACATCTAGAAATATTTCAAAAGTACATGTTCTCAGGAATCTAAAAAACAAATTGAATTAGTCTTACCCTGAAACCTCAGTTGGTAATTCTGCTCTATAAATATCATATTAATCTGTCAACACAAACATAGAGCGAAATTATTAGGTAGTTGAAGTTTTAAAAGTTCACACCACAGTTTTCTCATTTCATTGGTTTTGTTTTCATAAATTGTTGTTTATAAAGTCCAGGTCATTTCTATCTGTCTCCTCCCTAGTGTAAATTACGGAATATTACTGGGTATAAGATGTTGTAACGTTGTAAATATCAAAAAATAACCGTGTTTATTTGACGTCAGAGTTCTACTTTGTTTTTTGGTAAAATTATCCACTTTGAATTCAGAAATGAATCTTTCAATGATTTTTGCTTGTGCGCTTGTCAGTTGTCAATAAAATTTCAGATCTCGTTGTTGTCTGTCAACCCTACCGAACAAAAAACCCGAGCAGGACATTGCAACCAACCTTAATTTTTATCAAGTGGACTTTATAGTATTATTTATACAGTGCCTTTTTTCTAAGTTTTACTGAAAATTTCATTGAGTAAAAATTTGAACTAAAGTGTACCAAGCAGACATTTTTATAGGTTACGTTGGTTTGGCATTTCTAGTGAATATTTTGGTAGTTAAATAAAAAATTAAATTAAAATACATACATATAAATATAATTAAATTAAATTATATAAATTATACATACAAATTTATCGTATGACAATGATTATATTCTTGCAACCCTATTGCGCATCTGTGGATGAAAGTAAAGATACTAATATCGTTATTAAAAAATGGAGGTTGGTGGTAGAAGGGTGAAAATTTAGGGTTATATGTATTTCTTGATGCCAAATCTTAAAAAAATAAAAATAAAAAATTTTGTCCAAAAAATAAAAAAAAATTGGTGGGCCACCCTTATCACTTAGGGGTATGAAAAATAGTTTACGATCTATTCTCAGACCTACCGAATATACACAAAAAATTTCATGAAAATACGTCAAGTCGTTTCGGACGAGTTTGGTTACAAACACTGTGACACGAAAATTTTATACTAGATTCTTTTAGAATAAATGACGTGATGTTATATAATCTATGGCCTTCCTCGATAAATGGACTATCCAACACAAAAAGATTTTTTGAATTCGAACCAGTAGTTATTGAGATTAGTGCATTCAACCAAACAAACTCTTCAGCTTTATATTTATAATAATATAATATAATAATATAAGTATAGATAAGTATTATATGGCAAAATAAAGATGGCAAAAAATATAGAAACCTTATTAGGAAATGGGCATATTAAAAAAAACTGAGAAAAACTAACAAAATTATTTTAAAGAATCCAACAAAAAATGAAATGAAATGTAAAATGAGAAGTTTAATCATTAGTAAAGAGAAGTTCTGACTTTTGGCTCATTAGATTTTCAATATATTTTCGTAATATCACCGTTATTAACAAACCTACTGTTATGAAATTTTAAATATAACCTGTATATGTATATAACGCGAGAGCAGATTTAGTTGTCGATTTTTCTTTTGTCGGAAATGAGATTTCTAAAAAGAACCTAGTGTCGAAGCTGCTTTATGATAGTATTTCATTTTCAACAATAAAAAGAACAGTGGTAAAAACCGCGTTCCGAACTAAATAATTGTGACATTGAATTTAAAAAATACGTGATGAAAAATTTCACAGAAACTTCAAAAAGAATGATCATGGTAAACTGTTAAAAAAAAGCCGCCGCCGTGTAATACTGAGTAACTTGTGGACAATTTGTATTTAAAATTTCATAGCAGTAAGTCTGTTAATAACGGAGAAATAAAATATGATTTAAATTTTATCAGTTTCTGTTTTTACTTTTCGAGGGCAAGTTAGGAAAGATTTGTAATAGGGCGACTAACAACTTTCATGTTTTCTCGACGTTTCAGATAATCTTTGAAACTACCGCTTGATTGTTGTCAAATTTTATACGTGTATTATGAAATATCGTGTAAATAGTAAAACGCTAACCAAAATTTGTTCACTCATTCCCGGCGACAATTTGATGACATCCCTTACATTTTTCTTAGTAAACGCCATTTAAATTTAATAAAATTACATACTCCTACTATGCTTGTGGTTTATAAATCCGCCTTAATTTTTTATCCTAGGAATACAGATTTTCGCAAAAAATCCAAATTTTATCATCACATTTTTTATCACAATTGACGTGTGGCGCTGGTGGAATTCGGTTTTTTACTGATTAAATCAAGAACGATTCACCTCATTTTAATTAATAATAGTTACTTACCTAAAATAATATTCAGAAGCTCCAGTATAGTGTCCGAAATACTACAAGGTTATATGGCCACACTAAACTTAATAATGGGATGTTATAATTCCTTTTGTGCGGCTAATAACTACTGATGGGTAATCCGCTTAAACATTTTTGGTACATTAAACCAACACAAACACAATTTATAACTAAGGATTTGCCTTATTAACTGCTCCATTGTCGTCTTCACAGTGCCCTAATTTTACAACAGCCATATAACCTTGTAGTATTTCGGAGACTATAGTTTAAAAAATAATTTAAGTTCGTTTGCTTTGAGTAGACAACTTGATATGTAGTTAAGCATATACTCATATATATTTTTTTAATTACAGGGGTTATCATAAAAAAGAAATAAACTTCACACATTTATTTCATTATCTACTTACTTCAGAATTTTGTGTAACTTGTTTTTAATATTTTTGAAAATTATAGTAAAATAAAGTCTGTTACCTCGGGTATATTAATATTTTATAGTGTGCTACATTTTTAAGCATTTTTTGAAAATTGTGTCAATTATTTTACAACAGAAGGACTTGCATACTGTTTTTTTTATATTTCTTTTTAAAGGGAACTTATAAACAGCTTAATGGAGAATTTATCTCGAGAAAAAACCTTACCACAGCTAGACGAGTGAGAAATGGCTACTTTATGCAAGCAGTACCTTGTATTTTACTCTCCTCCGACTGCAGTTGAGGTTTTTCTTAAGCGGTGCATTGCGACACGTCTACAATAAACGTTTTTCTAAACGGTTGTAGGAAATACTATAAGATACAAAAAGTAGGAGTGGTATTCATTTTTCAGGAGGCTAAAATGAATAATTACTTCATTGTATTCTTTCAGCGACCACCATTACCTAGAATTTGTTTAATATTCACTCTAGACAGTCCTAGAAAAAAAGCTGAAGCAGTCCTAGCATTCCTAGCCAAAACACTTTCGACAATATTTTTTTTCGCCATGATTTTAAAATAAAATTTATTTGTTAAAAACGCTCGAAAATAATCGCTTCTTTACCGAACAAAAGGTCCTGTTCCCAACTGGAACAACCTCTACAATAAAAAATCCTCCACTCGTTCAACACCAGAAAAACTGCTTTCACCCGCAACCGCTGCAGATCCATGCAAGCGTACATTTTGATGGATGGTCGATCCGCAAGATCATCAAACATCAAAGTTGCATAAAGTAAGTCAATGGCTTCTAGGAAGACAGACAAGAGCACTTTAGCAGTAGACAGCTACTGAGTAAAAGCAAATATATGTCAGTATGTTGCACTTTTTGTTCGTGCTACACCGCCATAGAATGCATTTCCGCTTCTACTTCGGATGTTCGCCGACTGATAATTTCGCCATTGATTCATGTAATTGTCTCAATTCGACATTTTAGCAAAAAACGCTGCAGACGATTAGAAAGCTATCTGCAGCGAAACGTCCGACGCACGTTCGGAGATGCAAAGATAGCATTTAGGCCACGATGGCTTTCC